GCCCCCAAGTCACTTACAAAAGTGAGTTTTCTGTAAATGTCATCAAGCTGTGATGAATAGAGCAGGAATCAGCTTGTCTGAGGGTTACTGCCAAACGGCGACCGAAACCTACAGCAACAGGCGAAACCTGGCAATCCTGTAGTCTAGGGAGAGGGAGGGTGTTGTCGCGACTGCTGATGATAATGGTAGTCGCAGGGGTTCAAACTGACTCTGCAGAGCTGGTCTGCACAGTCAGAGGCCACAGGTCCATACATGCATGCCGAGAGAAAAGAGATCAAGGCGGAGGCAAACCGTTACCAGTGACAAAGACTGAATGCACGTCACTGGATGATATTGCACCTTAGTTTCTCTGCACTGGTAGCAGATGTGCAAGTATCAAGATGTTACTCATTGCTTTTAATGCAAGCTCCTGTTTCTGATCCTTGAAGAAATCCCTATAAGCCATTTCTCATTCTAGCATTTACATCAAAAAAAACAATTGTCATCCAGTCCCTTCAGTTTCAGTAAAACTGTTCATCTATTTGGCTGGGCAGTCAGCTCTAGGTAGAGTCCCTCTAGGTTGTTCTGAAATTCCTCCATTTAAGAATGATGGAGGTCACTGTGCTCTTGAACCTTCAATGCAGCAGAAATTCCTTTATAGCCTCTCCCAGATCTGTGCCTCGACAAAACCCTGTCTCTGAGCTCTGTAGGCAGGGCTTCCTGTTCATGGCTTGTTTTTTGCTCTGATATGCAGTCAGCTGTGAGACCTTAAATAGACCCCACAGGTGGACTCCATTAAAGGTGTATGATCAAGAGAAATGAGAGGAACCTGAGATAAATTTCAAAAGTCTGTTTTCACTTGACATTATGAGGTATTAAGTGATGGTAGATGAGGGAAAAATGTTTTTTTTGTATTTCAGCACAGGGCTGCAATTTAACAAAATGTGAAAAAAATGAAAAATACACTTCTGGTGGTTATGATCCCACAACCGATTTTCCCAACAGCAGTGATCTTTATATCAGTCTATGTAATTAAGGTTAAGAGCATACTGCAATCTTCTACAGAACAGAGGCACAAAAGCAACACACAAGTATGTGTTCCAGTTATGTGGGGACATGCAAGATTGCTGTGACACAGAAAAACTGGTTTGAGGCAGTAAATAACTGCTCAGAGGTAAATCCTGCAGTTTCTATGCAAATTACAATTATAATGCAATTCACAATGAGCAGCCACCTAAAAATCTTACAGATTACTTAAATTGTGTATTATACTTCAAACTCTTGATTGTAGCGGATCCATTTTTTATACAGCTAAGAAACATACACCCAGATGCCAGTTTATTACACCTACAACTTCTGTTTCTATTCAGCTCTATTCACGTTGGAGCTGTACTTTCCTCCTTTGTCAGGGGAGAGAAAAGATCCTGTTGTGAGGGTGGCAATTATGGCATACCGGTGATGTTATTCTGATGTAAATAACTATGTAAAAATGTCCATGACATACACAGTGAGGACAAATAGTAGCAAGAGCTATTTAAAATGGAAAACTGCAAACAAGTACCATTGTTATTTTGTAGATGACCCTAGCTTTTTCATTTTCCTGTGGAGAAGAGTGAAGTTGTATAACAAGCTTATTATTAGTGAAATGAATAAGATTCACTTTTACATCACTGAAACAGTCCACATGACAGATATGAGATATAAGGGATCTTAGTGTGGTTTTGTAGCAACCTACGCCTGAGCACAAAATGCTGGTCTCCAAAAATAAAAGAAACATCAGTGGGTGGCTTTTACCAAGCCCCTCTTCTCTGGAATCGTCTTGAACGATTCATCTATTAGCATCTGCCTTCAACCTCATTTAGACTGCCCGAAGTACTAAATTATGGTTATCCAGCTTTTTTTAAGTTATTTTTTCAAGCTTTCTTCCTTTATAAGTGACAATGAAAGAAACACAGGAAAGTTAGGCAGAGAGAGGAGGGATGACATGCAGCACAGGGCCACAGGCCAGACTCGTACACAGGCTGCTGCAGTAAGGACTAAGTCTAAATGGTACGCACTCTACCAGGTGAGCCTCCAGGACCCCCAGTTATGGTTATCCAGCTTACATTCACTTTCACATGCACAAGGTTTTGTAAATGTACTATATGTTACACATTCTTGTACATGTGTTTTCTCATCTGGATCCAGCTATGAATATACAGGAGACTGGTGTATTTTATATTGTTGTATTGTACCTCACTTTTGATATACTTAAATATCCTAAATGTTTTGTTTATAATGTTTTATATGTTATTTTTCTCACCTTTTACATTTTTATTGTTCATTATGTTTTATTTTATGTAAAGCCCTTTGAGACATACTATTGATATCGGGCTATAATAAACTCTGACTTGACTTTGACATGTTTTATGGGAAGGGAAAGAAGAAGAGGATTACCTGGCAATCTGAGTGACATAAGGCTCGAGTTCTTTGGGTTCGTAAGCCCTAGCGAAAGACCAGCACACATAACAGGCAGCATCACGTACGTTGGAACCAACACTGCATGCCCCCCTCTTTTCCTCGTAGGTCAAGGACTTGATGATGAGTGGCACAACTGCAAGCAGACAACAGAAATGGATGAGTAGTTTTACCTCAAAAACAAAAAGCTAAGACAAGAGAAGGAAAACTATGTCCAAAGCATACATTACATTTCCTGTATGCAACCTTGGTAGTAGGGAGAGTTCAAATCACTATTTTAGCTTCACACCTGACAGCCAAAATCCCTGGACTAAAACCAGTAGCAAGTAACTGAATTATTACATGATTATGAGTGCTGTTTCCCTATTTATTTTACACTATTTTTATTTTTATTATTTCAAATTAACATTTTTTTCCCATATATTAGGCCTCCATACAGTTGTAATCTTTTCTGGTTTTATTCATTTTATGGTTACATGCATTTAAAGCAATCCCTTTGCAGCACATTAAGAAATAAACCGAGAACTGTTTTGTGGTGGTCTTCCTTGAAAATTATTTAGAATTGACAGAAAGAAGCAAAAAAAATAAGGTTGTACAAGGCCAGGCAACAACAAATATGGTGGCACCTCTGTGTTATATCAGGGAAAGGAAGCACAACATGATTAGCAGAGAAAGTCTGTATTATTTTCTTTGTACACTGCTCACATAAAAAGTGAGGTAAATCTAAATAAAAGCAGCAGCAATTTTACCTGCAAGTATGCAAATGTCATGCCGATCTTGCCAGCTTGCTCGTGAACTTGACTTGAGACTTGATGCATTTATGTAAATGAGCATGTTATTTTCAGTAACAGCAGAATGAGACCTGTGTGGTTGTTTCCACAAAAGAGAGGGAGCAGTGAAGAGGAAGAAGGTGTGGGAGCCCCCCACTCAACCCCATCATGTAAATCATCGCTTGAGGCTTGACTAATATCAGGTGCATCAATGTTGCCCGAGGGAACTGCTGTTTGGGCTGAAGCCCCACCCACCGGTGAGACAACACCTCAGAGAGAGGAACTCACCACACAACTAACATCACCAAATACAGCACACACATGCACCATCACACACACTCACACATACACTCTGAACTCTTAGCACATATTGGAGCAAGCGTCCTGATCAACACTGGCTGTGGATTGTGGAGTGGCTCTCTGCAGGCCTAATACTCAGGAGAAGACACGGTTGCTACAACCAGAGGAGGTAATTTTTTTCTTCTTTTTTTAATCTTTTCTTCATTAAAAAGCAAGAAACATTGGGTTACTTTAACTTTATTAACATTTTAATTTATTCACAGCACTCTGTCAAACCCTTTCTGTAGTTTTGGTAGTCAGTGTTTCGTAATGGTACTGTTTACTAGTTTGCAGGGTGTATTTAAGGTAGGTGTAAGCTTTGCATGCACCTGTTACCTGTGCATTTTAATTAGCCCCTGCTCGTACTGCCAAGACTGATGACCTGACTGATGCATGTATTGCTTAAAGTACCTGGCCTCTGCCGAGGACCTTCTGAAAAAGTTTAAGATACTTAACTAAACTTAGCTAAATAACAGTCTTTTTTCTTTATAACAAATACAGACTGGTATGTAAATAGAAAGACCACACCTTAGGATCCAAACATATATTCTTTATGAAGAAAAAAACAAAACAGAAAGGTTTTTACTGGGTTGTATTCATAGTGAAGAGGATTTATGTTAAAAAATAATTTTCTAATGAATTTCACTCCTTAAAAAGGGAGTGGCTTTGCATGCTGCAACAGTTGGACAGAAACTTGAGTGACAACTTCTTGCGACAGCACATGACAAGCAGGTTCCTCGACACCCAGTAACACTTAACTCGCCGCTTTAGGTGATGTTTCATTTCAAAGGTGAGCCTGAAGCGCTTCAGATGCCACCTGCTGTGCCTACTTTAGCTGCTACGTTACATGAAATATTATTAAAAGAATTACTTCTCAAACACTTGCGTCTCCAGAGCTGGTGAGCTCATCAAATGATGAACGGGAAACTGAGTGCATCCCGCAGGTGTAGTCATGGGAAGCAGGTGGCTGGTGGTTCCCACGCCGACAGCCTAAGAGTTTAGTAAGGTTGAGGGAGAAAGCAAGTCTCTGCATGCCCTCCAGGTCTATGTTAGTAAATGCCTAGTCTGCCCATCTCCTGCCTACTTATTGCCTAGGTAGTTTTCTAACTTTACAGGACAGATGAGTGGAGCAATATCAGAATGATAGGCAGGTGAATGCACAGGCCAAGTTGAGGCCTCTGAAGGGTGCTGCCAATCAACCAAAACTACAAAGACACAAGTGCACCTATGCAAACATGCAGGTACATTTTTGCATACAGGAGATAGGTTTACATATTTACCCATATCTGTATTTGGTGTCCAACCCACTGTGAAGTAACAGTTGCAGAAATACATTAGCCTGAGGGTGCAGTGTTTTGTGCAATGAGAGATTTTTCTGGCCGAGCAGCTAAAGAAACACTGAGAGAAAAAACTGCCAATGAGAACCACTCTCCACCTGAACCAGTCAAACAACTTTATCAGCCTCATTACTCAGTGAGAATCTGGCACAAAAACTGCAATGATTCATAAGTTGCTCTTATATGCTTTAGTGTCACATTCCCCAATAGCTTCAGTATATACACAGACAGAGGAAGTTAAAAAATTTAAATCTAAACCACCAATTCTTCAACTGCAATGTGCTGTATTTTTCTTTCAGGAAACGTGCCTAAGAATCAAGATGCAGACTGCTCAGGAACGTAAGCCAAAAAGACCCCACTACATTCCCCGTCCGCCAGGCAAGCCCTTCAAGTACCAGTGTTTCCAGTGTCCTTTCACCTGCAATGAGAAGTCCCACCTCTTCAACCACATGAAATACAACTTGTGTAAAAACTCAATCTCCCTGATGTCACAGAAAACCGGGCAAACAGCTCGACAGGTCAAGGCTGTAGCAAAGGGAGTCCCTGTCAAATCTAAGGACTGTCCAAGCCCCCAGCAAGCAGCTCAGAACAGCAGTCCTGAGAAACAGGGAGTTGAAGAGAACAAAGATGAGAGCAGAGAAGACACAGAACATGTAGATGTTGGGTGTGAGAGTCCAGTCAACAAGGACAGCCAGAATGTGACAGAACCAAATACAGTTACAGAGACAGAGAACAAGGAGAGCAATGAGGCCAAGTCTCTGCCGCGCCCATCTGCCTTCTCCCCTGTCACACCCAACCGTGACGGAGCAGATGCCTTCAAGTCATCTGTGCAGCAGTCGGAGGACTCACAAACTCCTGCTCCTACTTTCAACCAACCAGGCTTCCCATGGGGCACAATGTCATCTTCCATTCCCTTAAAACCATTACCCCCTGCCATGGTTCCTGAATACTCTACTTATCTCCTGCCTGACCGGCCCCTCTATCCATCATACTACCTCCCAGGAAATCCCCATGCGAATGAGCCAAACTCTCCTTCTTTCCGGCCAGAGTTTCTGGATCCCCAGAGGCCTGTGGTGCCGCAACCCATTGCAGCACCTCACACTTCCCTCTTTCCTCCATACACATACAGATACTGCCACCCTCTTCACCCGCCCCACCCTTTGCATTATGCCCTGTACAGGCCACATGAGCTCTCCATGCCAATTCCAGGACCCAGATATATTCCTTTGGATTTGTACGGCCAGACCCTTGGGCCAAAGGATTATGACTTATACACATATTCACGCCTCAGACCCAACAGCCTCAACACATCTACACAAGAGCAGAGCAACCATGGGCAGAGTGGAGATAAAGCAACCAGGCTAAGCCCTAAAGCGGGTTGTTCAGCCTTGGGGTCCCCTGACAGACCCAGCCATGCACACACCATACAGAGAGACACCGAGGTCCTGCACTACACCAGCACAAATGAATCACAAACAACTCCCGAACAAGGACACGCAGATAGCGCCGTGCAACCCATCAAACATGACTCAAGACAAGAAAAGTGTGCTGAAAGCTTGCTGCAGTTAAGAACTCTGCATGTGGATGGAGGGTAAGCAAAATTTACCAAATCTAGTTGCTGTTTTTTTCAATTTTTCAAGAAAAAAAAATCTTTTTTTCTTGGCTTAACTGACTGCAGAAACCTGATTTGCAGTGATGGTAGTCAGTCCGTTAAATTTTAGTTTTGGTCTGTCCCTTTCAGGTCAGCTGAGAGCAGCAGATATTCCTCCATGTCTGTCTCTGAGCCATGTCCTGAAATGTCAGAAGAAGAGGATGAGGACAGCAGAGAAGATCTGGCTCCCCTAAACCTCTCAACAAGAAAGCGGGATAAAGAAAAAAGCCCATCTGACCACGGACTGAGGTGCTTAGACAATGAGACATTAAAAGGGGATGAGTTGCCTCTGAACCTCAGCCTTCGAGCTTCTCACAGCAGCCCTGAGGATCTCCAGCAGAGGCCCGATGCTGAGCTACATGAAGAACCATGTGACCAGAGGCAGACTGCAGCACTGGCACTCTGTCAACTTGCCACTGCAAGCTCTGCTGCCTCCGCATGTGACTTCAGCACTGCAGACGGGCCCTCAAAGGATTCCACAGATGCTACAAGTCCTAACTTTCCAGGGAAGACCAAGCACACACCCAAAACTAAGGCAACTGGCATGAAAAGAGCAAACAGTGGCCAGGCTGAAAACAACTGCCATAAACCACACAAGAGAGGAAAAGCACCAGGACGGGTTCTGAGACGGAGGCCTCGTTGATGCTAACAAATACACTCTGACTGTTATAATATTTAGTAATAAGGACATAACATCTCCAACATTTACGACTGCAAGCCTCAATGGGAAAGGATCAACTTATTGAAAAATAATGTTAAAATGTTAATTAAGCACTGAAAGATTTGATAATGCTTGCAGGAGCAAATGTAACATGTAAAAATCTGCCACGAGGTCAATTGTTAAAAAAAAAAAATGCAAAGACTTCACACAAGTATGTAAATATTATTTTACTTTTTCTCACACTTGATTGGAAAAGGTGAAAAGCAATAAGTATTCTTAATATTTAAATCTGGACATATTTTGTAATATAGAAAGTTGACAATGGATTGACTCTGTAAATGTAAAAAATTTGAATAAAGAAGAAACAAAAACTGACTTTCTTATAATAGTCCACATGTCATATAATAAATATTTCAATATGAATTTGTGGGCACATACCATCTGTTAATCTGGAAGGCAGGAGCAGTCCTCTCCTACCAAGTTCTGCCAATGCCAGGCAGCCTCCATGCCAAGCATTGTCTGTTTCCTGGAAGCTTTAAAAACAGCACACACAGGTCAAAACATAGAACAGGTTTTTGGAATATGGGGCTGCTTGAAAAATTGTCCCTGTGTGACAGGTATTCTGGACACAGTATGAGAAATGATAAATAGCAGAGCCTGACTGTTGCCAAGAGCCAATATGCACCCAGCATGAACCTACCTGAAGCAGTCCAGCAATGATCCAACCACCTCATCCGCCAGCTCCTTGGGAAGCCTCCCAGTCACCCTCCCAATGCTGAAAGGTTAAATAAACAACATTAACTCTTTTGGAGATGCTGTCTTTGACATGAACAATACAGAAGACAAGTATCTACAAGGATGACTTGTTATCAACTGTTAGAAATTTGTTATGTGAGGACAGATTGTTACCCCTTTGCTGCAGACCAGCGCACAATTGTTTCCTTATCTTTCAGTCCCACCAGCAGATGCTCTGTAAAATACCAAATTAGCTAATTTGATTTCAGGAGCAGACATATTACAACAACAGTTTAAACTAAGTGGAGTCCGAAACTCACCAATAACTGTCTCTACTTCTTCAGGTATGTCATAGTCCTCCTCCTGTTCTTGTGTGTCCATATCTGGAGTCACAGCTTCAGAAGTTGTAGCAGATTGGGACATGGAAAGGTTTGCTGCGAGAGAGCGGCTGCCTCTCTGGTACCTGAAAATGACACTAAGCTCAGTGCTCCAAAACACATCTCACCAATGACAATAAAATGTGTTGTGACACATTTGACATTACTCACTATGAAAAACTAGCTCGGAAGAGAAGTGATATAAAGCAATTCCCAATGGAATGCGGAGCCACAATTGGCAAAGTATTGGTAATTGACAAGATTCTTTACATGAAAAATACCCATGCTTTTAGATATGACATGTACATGAATTTTTCATGTAAACACACAATGAATTTATTTATTATGTCTAACCGCCAAGCAGCCAAACGTGGTTTCAGGAAGGTGAGACCAAGCCTCTGGATTAGTTTGACACCAAGCTTCCGCAGCATGGCCTGGCTGCTCTCTGACAGATGTTTCTGTTCCAGACACTGCAGAATTGTAGGAGCTGGGAAACACAGAGTCATAATTATTACATGTAATACTATAATTTCATTACAGAAATAAATAAATGAATGAATACATACAGAACATACATAGCATACAGGCATATTTGCGATTTGGGAGATCTCTGGTTAGAGGCCAAGAAATGCCAATGCCTTTATTTACATGTAGGACATTTGCAGATCACAGGTACACAAAAAACAAATAATTCTAACTGCCATGGATGAGGTTCACTTGCCAGCTACAACTACAATGTCTCTACAGAAACTGCTTCATGTAGCTAAAAATATGCACTGGATAAATTATCAAAGAACTCACATTTTCATTCACAGCAGGGCTCTGGTATTATTTTAGGGACATATCACATGATGCATTCAAATATCTCCCCCATGGCATATGACATTTGGATAAAAGATTTGTGAACACAAATCATTCTGTTACCACTGGCAAGAGCAACTGAACTGAGGGCTATGAATGTAACAATAACATGCTCCAATAACTCCTGCCATCCTAATTATGCCACCCTGCTGCCATGATCTTTAATCAATTGAATCAAATTATATCATTATAGGCTATGAAGTCCAGATTTTGAAGAGCCCACAGAGCTGAATCCCACATACAATGAATATGATACTGACATAACAAGGTCGCAGGGTCTTTGAGTTTTCAGTGTGAAAAACAAAAACCTGTTCAGGCTGGGGCCAGCAGAACTGCTTAATTATTAATTTGATCTTCATTCATTACTTTACTGCATAGAGATATAACACAGAACAAACTGTAACCTACCATACTGTAGGAGGTCATCTCGTTTTCCATGTTTGAAAAGTTTTGCCTAGGGGACACAAATCAGATTACCAAATCAATCTAACATACTACAGAGGACATATGATAGCAGTAACATTTGGGAAGGCATCACACATTTTCAAATAGTAAGTATTTCACTAAGAAACATTGCACATTAGTCTCAGAAACCAAGATTCATATTAAGCCACATCTAGTTATGTTTTTGTCTTTGAAACACCCTAAGCACCACACAGCCTGGGGCCACAGTGACTTCATAGACATTAAGTAAAAAGGGGCGCTTTCTACAAGTTATTCAAGTTTATGTGCCAATAATATGAATGTAATGTACTTGCTTGAGGGCTGCAAAACATTATCTTACCTGGCAGGAAATGATTAGAAAATACCCTCTATTACTGATAACGATTTGTATTGAAAACAGATGTAATGTGAGAGGCTGGAAAAGTGATTTCCATTGGAACAAAAATACCTTCAACCCTGTTCTCATTTGCAGAGGAACCTTTTATCTTAACGCTGTGGATTAAACACTTGAAGCAGTAGCTCCCACACACGTAGCAGGTGCATTACACACCTGCCAAAACCACATTCGGTATTGGGTGAAACATACCAGTCATGTCAGCTCTTGTAAACTATCATCTGCAGGTTTTAATACACTGTGCACACAAATGACACTGGCTTCAAACAAACAATAGAGAACGGTGTGTGCGCAAAACCAACGGAGTATGATCAGTGAGTGTGTTTTTTTTACCAGAGACTGCAGAGCACCATCCAGCACTATAATGTCTCTCATTGATTGGTCACTGGTCTGGGATATAGTGGTGAGGCTCCAGTCCAAAAAGTCTCCGAGGCGCTTCTGTTTCACATCGGGGCGTGTCATGAACCTGTAGGGTCATGTACAATAAAGCAAGAAAGAAATAATTGGTTTCATCTAGATAAACAAATGTAGACACCAGAAGAGACATTCCACGAACAACCGTGCCCTCTATTGGTTAGAAAACGAATTACAGTTTATAACTTCACATGGTTTGTATTTTGTGTTTGCAGTAGGTTGCTATGTTTTTATTAGCTCCGCCAAGGAGGTTATGTTTTCATCTGTGGCTGCTGGTTTGTTGGTTTGTTGGTTCGTTTGTCAACAGGATTACACAAAAAGTACTGAACTAACTTGGTGGAGGGATAGGGCGTTTGCCAGGGAAGAACCCATTAAATATTGGTGCAGATCTGGTTAAAGGGGCAGAGCCAGGAATGTTTTATCACTTTCTTGAGATTACATAAGATAAGATAAAACTTAACTGTCCATTAGATTTGCATAAAATGGAAATTTGTCTTTCCTAAACTTTGGAAGATAGGGCACAATTTGGTGCCGATCCAGATGATAATCTGGATCTGGTGGAAGACAATGTTTGTCCTTGGCAGAGGTATAGACTCTACTGAGTGCCATTCTAGTAAATAACATTTTTTTAAGTCCATGATTGACACAATATTTACATAAAATACATACAGTAGACATTTAGCCTTAATGTGTGCAGGAAGCCTAATAGCCCAAATACACAGATGATAATGTTGGTTTGTTTGGTTTTCCTCTAAAGGAAACTGTTTATGCACATTTCATGGTCACTGCATACATTCAGTACGACAAAACATGAAGGTGGAGGATTAGTAACATTATTTCTCTGCTTTCAGTTTCCCTTTTAAAGAATACCTATCCTTATTAATTTAATAATTCAAACAATAGATGTGTGACATCTAACAACATATAGGTTTACACCAGTTAATGCTGATAACTCGTTTGTAAATGGTACACCATTTGTGACACACACACTGCGGCTTTACTTGACACTCTCCACTCTTTATGATACAACACAGTTCACTGACGTACAATATAGCAAACGTTGGCAGTAACTGGATCCACAGGCCTCTTCTATAGTGTGTCCTATCAGGCACACAGGCAAGTGTAGTAGAGGTCGTAGTGGATGTAAGCACACATTCATTCCTTTCATTGTTTTCTTCATTTCCAGCTATAAGGCAGATCCTATGTTCGTTATCACACAGTATGTAGGAAATTAGTGAGTTTCGGAAGGTATTGATTTGATGGAAATTGAATCAGTTCATACCTGTTCATACCTGTCTATCAACATCCTGCAGGGATATTTTGTGGCCACTCGTGTTTTTTTCACGTTTTATCAAAGGGTATTATTGTTCCACTGTTACAAACTGTGAAACGTACATGTTTGGTTTGTGCACTTACTTTGATACCAGTACAGATGCGGCATCCCTGGGACTATCACTGACAAGTAGATAAGACTGCAAAGAAGCAAAAACACTGTCATTCATACTGTATGATACATGACTGTTATCATGATGATGACATTGGAGTAATGCTACAAATGCTACAAATAAACAAATACTCCAGGGCTAAATAAAATTCAGTACACATATTACACCACTAAGGAGCCACGAATCCTGATAACAAAAGACAAGCCATTTTGGGGAGCAAGACCTAGACATACGGACCGATCTCTCCAACATAAAACACGTTAACAAATTCAAAGTATTTCATCTGCTTAACTTGCCTTTGCAATAGAGAGAATACGGTCCATAGTGGGCTCTCTGGCCATGCCTCCATCTGACTCCAGATGACCATCCAGGCGAGAAAGGTCAAAGGGTATGAGGCAGGTCATGGACAGCCACAACAACAACATGTAGCGGGTTTCCCAAGTCTGAAATGTGTACATGGTAAAACATGCAGCTAGTAAATCCAACACCAAAGATAACACATGCAAAATTGGTAGGAGGAAAATGCACAGAGGTGTGATTGCTGTGTAGGACAGGATTATTATTTTTATTAGAGTCTCACCTCAGAGTCTTTGGGATCCTGTCTGGACAGCAGGTCCAGAACTGGCTGGACATCAGCCACCTCATGAGGAAAAAGCTGCATGAAGATTTTATAGCCTCTTACCTAGCCAGAAAAATATAAATAAATAAAAACACCCTGGGCCTGTGTCATCAAGCAGAATTACTGAATTGGCTGGACAGCTTTGCTATGTAAGTAAAATGAGTGTTGCAGGTTTTACTCTGTGCAGTGTGGTGTCGAGGATTTTAATTGACTTGGCAAGCTACTGTCAGTATGAACACTGTTTTTACTGACCTTACAGATGATGTAGAGAAACTTGAAACCCAAATGTACCAGTGAAGGGGGAGACTTTTCACTCCTTACAAAATCCAGTATCATGTTCAACATCCATTCTAATAAAAATTGACGAGTGGGGGAATTTAATTATATATACATTCTTCAAATGAATCTACAATACTAACACAAATTGATTTCAGAGTCATACTTATCATAATGTACCTAGATGTGGGTCCAGCAGGTGAGGCTGCTCTTGATATCTGTTCATTATCACTGTGGGATGAAATGGGCACAATGTGATACATAGCAAACATGCTCAAACCACCCATTCAAAGCACTGATTGAAATTTGTTTATGTGAAGATTCGTCAACTCTGCGGAGGACTGCCTCACCCAGGAACCTCTGTGTCGCAGACTCGCTTGTCACCGTGTCCCCGTGGACCTCCGGCAGGCTGGAGATGAGAGCCCGGGTCTCGCCGCTCTCACTGAAGCCGCTCAAGACACAAGCTGTAACAATAGCGTCGGACTCTCCCCCTTCCCCACCGGAACACCCATTCTCTGTTTCAGATAAGGCCATTTTGAAAAATCTTTACCTGCAAAGAGTCTCTGTGTAGAGGCAATGGACCAGTTAGCTAGCTAGTATTAGCAAAAGGAACGGGTGTGGAAATTAGCATGGGACGATGGAATTTATTACACATAAAGCTACGATACGTAATTAGTCCATAAAGTATTAACGTGAAAATGACTGTACTCTAACTGCAAGTAATGTCACTAAACAAAACCGTGACACTTTCCCTGGTCTGTTATGATGCTCCTGTTGTGCTCCTGCAAAAGTACGTCGTTATTGCGTTCGCGCCCCGCCCCGGTACGGTACGGTAAGCGAGAAGTGCCAGTAGTGGGTCGTTGCTGTGAATAAGCAAAATTCATTGCTAGTTAAGGTCGTAAATACTATCATAATGTTTATAAACCATTAACCAAATACCATGCATGAGAAATCTGTATTTTCTGGTGGACTGTTTTTGTCTATTTGTGCTTTATTTTTTTATCAATTTTTATTCTTGGGATTTTTTTACCAAGCACTTGGAATTGCCTCTGTTTGAAAGGTGCAGTACATGAATAAACTTGTCTTGCTTTGTAAATCGTTGGCCTCATAGCATGGCCTGTGCCACTCTCTGTTAATTCAAGTTAAGTTAAAAAATGTTTGGAAAAAATACAGATGAAATTAAGCATCAAAACAAATACAAAACATCTCTAGAGTCAATGGTTGCATCAAAACCTGACAGCAAGTTCAACTTCAACTTCAACTTTATTATTATTATCCCGAAGGAAATTTGGTTTGCAGCAGGCATCATGAACACGTCAAAGACATTAAATTACATTGACAATAATAAACAGTTGGTTCAACATAAATACTGCATCAAGTCAGTTGTGCAAGAAATAAAAGGTGATAGGCAGGTGAGCAAGACCAGGCCTAGCCTAGAGTATATTAGTTCAGAGTATATTTTAACAAATAGTTTGATTCACTACCGTTTTCAAACTGGATAGATACCAATTACAGCAGGTCAGGAAAACACTTTGGATCATCTCAGGATTTATTGTTGGTTAAACAGTGGATAGCAAATATTGCAATGATCCATTACAATACAGAAACATTTTGTTTTTGTATGTAGTGTGTTAGTCTGTATGATATCAACAGTAAGGCTACTACAACGTAGATAAAGAATATAGTATTGCATTCACTGAAAAAATCTAATGTTATTTGCACAGTACTATAATTCAATTAGGTGCTGGTCAAACAGGTAATGCATAAGAATCAGAAGGTTTTGCAGCATAACACAGAATAGCAACTTAAAACTTCTTGGTATTTGTTCTTCCAACTGACAAGTGAGAATGATAAAGAAAATTATATTGCCCCTCACACTTGCAGAAAATGAAAAAAAATTGTTTGGTGTGTGGTAAGTCCTTCCTCTTGTATATAGGAATGCATGTTGTGGTTTATGTTTGATTGTAGATGACCAAAAGGTATAGATTCTGCTTTTCTATAATTTTGAAAGCGAGTTGGTGTAGGTGTAGCAGTCATGGCAGAATTAATTTTGGATGTGGATTCTGTATTTAATACACAGTATAGCAGACATTTCAATGTTAAAGTGTTATTCAACAATTAGCCACACTAGTTTTGGTCAGATTAGCATCCATCAAATACTTGATTTGCGTTTAAGACTTGTGAAGCTTTCTACAAGTGACTGGGAGTGCAGTTATTTCAGTAGGTTCTTCATAATGCTTATTGAGGAGCCTCTGTAGCCACCACCAAAGTGGTTCCAGTGATTCAGATAGTGGAAAAGTTGGTAAAGCTGGTTTCTCTTTTCAAAGCCTGGAGCTTTAGGAATCTTTTCATGGTAAGCAGAGTAAAAAGAGCTGTTGAAGCCACCAAACATCCCTGCAATACCCAGCTCAAACTCTGAATGGCCATAGAAGGAAGCAGGGTCAAAGATGACTGGCCCATCTGCACACTCTGCCACGTTGCCTCCCCATAAATCTCCATGGAGGAGAGCAGGGACAATTTCCACATCTGTGAAAAACTGTGGGATCTTCAGCTGTAAATGAGAGACAAAATATGTAAGTTGCACTGTCAGGTTATTTATACAATCATAAAGACGTGTGTAAAGTTTTGTTTCTGATGGGGGGCAAAGGCAGGGTGCACCTGTAGCTTAGCCCATAGTTCTCTGGCCTCCCTGTCTCCATTAGATTTCTCCACCATGTTAAGCTGATGCTGCAGCCTCTGCTGGGAGTAAAATGTCACCCAGTCATCCTGCCACTCATTTTTCTGGGGAGAAAAAAGGAAGTCTGCAGTGATACTGTTAAGGATGAATGTAAGAGACTTGAGACCATATATATGCACTTCATATGTACTACATATTAGAGACTACAATACAGTCCAGTCTCACCTAGTATACAGATACAATAGTATTTATTTTTACCTGTGGTAGATATCCACAGCATGTTGTTACACCGAAGCCAAATTTTTCAACAACAGCCACCTCCGACTGGCCAGCTCCTTTTCCTGTGTACCACAGAAAATGTTATACAATGCTTAATCTGAATGACCAGCAATTTATACTCCCCAATAAAATTTGAGAGTTTATTGGTATTCAATCATGCAATGGCAAAAGGATAGAGGATTTTTGTGTACATTTGTCTATATTTGCATGTACTGAAGTGTAATGAAGGTGAATTACCCACTATCTGCTGCTCTTTATTGAATTTTTCCAACTGTCTCTTGTTGTGAAGATGCAGATCAGCCAGCTGCTCTCCTAGGCGCTTTGAGTGCCTACACATTGGATTTAGAAATAAAGGATTTCATGAAAAAAAAACAAATAGACCTAGACTATAGTCTGCTATATTTTCAAATTGCCCTCCAGTCTAACTTGTGTACCATGCTAATGATATTGATACAGTACTAAACAAATTGTATGAGAGCTCTTACTTGCTAAGACCTCTCATGTCCAGATGCTCCATCACAAATAAACATCCGCCTGTGTCAAGCTCAATCACCTTCACAGGCTTGGGGACTTTAACAGTTTCTGTCTTTAAAATGGCATCTAAACTGGCCATCTCCCCATCAAACATCAATTTGGCCTGAAAAAAACAAAAATGGGATTTGGTGTCGTGAGCATGTAGTTTGCATGTTCACGAAATAAATAATAATTAGACTCTTCTCCATCTCACAATGTGTGCACAAAGTTCAGTTGCCTTCTGAGGGTGTAGCAAATCCAATTCACTGTTGTGCTTTTCCATTGAGACTAATAGCACATATAGTGATCCAGACATCAACCAACATATATGTCATTGTAATAACTTAAATGATTAATGCAAAACATAATAACTGTAAAATACCTCGCTTTTGTGGTTTATCTTCACAAACACTCTCCCAGAGTCAGTATCATAACTCTGGCCCTCGCTGATACATCCACCTCCTGAGTAACCAGTTGACTTCAGCATGGTTGTTCCCAACTCTTTCTTTAACTTTGCTTCCATGGTTATTTCCCCAAATCAATTCTTGTAGAGATACAGCGGTGTCAGCTAATTCCGACAACGCGATGTAACTGCGAAGTCAGAGGTTTGCGGAGGGCGTTTTCGATGTTTTCTGTCGACTCGTATGGACCAGTGATTACCCTTTTTATGGCGTTGATCTTGTTTTTCTTCCGCTGTGTTCACGTGGGTGTGTCGATAACCAATCAGAAACAAGAGTGGAATGATTGATGTCTACTTCGTCCTATCACTGCGACGTACCACCGTCGTTCGAGCGTCGCCATGGTGCCAAGTCTGGCGGCTACCTCGGCTACATGCAATCACGGGCTTTGCTATTCTGCTTCTGGGAAACCAAAATGACCAGAAATGAAACGTGTTTGCTTCTTGGAGCAACTGGCGTTGGGAAAACGTTGTTGCTGAAACGTCTACAAAATATCCTTTGTTCTCAGCTGAATGTTTTGAACTAGAGCTAGAAAAAGTATAAAAGTATTGTGAACTGAAAGTGTTTTGTATCTTAAATTTAGCTAATTTAGCTTGGTGAGCTGTTGTAGTAGGTGTAAACAACGTTAATACTTATATAAGCAATAAATACCAGGTTGCTAAGTACAATATATATTATTCACTCAGTTGTCAGTTTATCACAAACGCCTAGCTAAAACTAAAGCAGGCTAATACAATAGTTCAGCAATAAATTTAGGCTATAATGTTTGTGCTAAAACTAAAGTGGTGTTCATTCAACAGTATAATCATTTTGGGAGCTGCAGTTTTTGGTGCTGTTGAAACAACCACCACCAATATCGGTTGACACCCTCATAATTTTGCACCAATTTGAGTACATTTGCATTTGCAAGGCAACCCTTGTGGACAGTCACATGAAGTATATAAGTGATATGACACTAAAGTAAAATAAAGCTGATTAAAATATTATTTCACATGGTGTTCTAAATTACATACTCTCAGAAAAACGGATTACAATAAAATGTCCCTTTATACTGTATAATGTATAACTATAAATAGTGTATTGAGCTCATTTTAAGTTCAGCTTAGCAAGTTTAACTCACAGCAATGGCTCCCATAGATTTTTTTTCCTAACTGATTTTGTTTACAGATCAGTTTACATGGATTAGGTGAACTAGGGTCACCTCCTTCTACTCTGCCTACAGTAAGTGATAATGAAAGATAGTTTTACTACAGAGTATTTGAAGGCTCTGTTTTGATGTGACGGTCCATCCATGTAATGCATCTTACCTCTTTAAATCTGCACAGGTAGGAACCAACCTGACAGACCTGACACTGAAGAAGAAGAAGGTGACAGTGAGAGAGCTGGGAGGCTGCATGGGCCCTATATGGCCCAGTTACTTCAAAGACTGCTCCTCTGTCATTGTATGTTTTTGTATACATACTGCATCTGCAACATTAGATGGAAGGGAATAGATTGGCTGTTGGAATTATTTGACTGAATGCTTTTTCTTTTTTATAGTTTATGGTGGACTCAGCCAACATCGCTCAGGTATCCTCCTCCTGTATCCAGCTGCTGTCAGTACTCTCTGCTGAGCCTCTGCGCAGTGCCTCTGTGCTTATTCTCTTCAACAAGAGGTAACACTCACCAATCCCTACATTCACTTGCCATACATGCAAGATGTGAGTCAGCAGGTTCAACACAGCATGTATCCAATCTCATAATTCTGTCGTTCTTGCCATTATGTATTTTCTTATTTTTGTTTTTATTCCACCCTTTTCCAGGGACGTGCCCTGCACTATGAGTCTTATAGAGATAAAGTCACTGTTCAGAATGGATGACATCATTGCATCTGCTACTCAGCCAATCACAACACTGGAACTCAGTGCCCGATCTGGACAGGGACTTCAGGAGGTGCTCAGTTGGCTAGAGTCCATCACAGTCAAGTGATCCATCATATGCTTGTTCCTGAAAAAGTGACACTGCTCTGTTTGAAAAATGGTTTCAAGCCTTTTGGCAAAAGATGTCAGTATCCTGAGTGTGCAAAGACGGTTTACACACCAGTTGTAAGAGGATGTAATTATGTGCTTAGTGTTGGACTCACTGAAAAAATGGCAAGACATGACAAGAGAAACTGTTGTATCTTGAGTACCATATAAAATATGGTGACTCCTCATTAGGAAAAATAGGGGAGGTGATGTATTAGTGATATCATGGCAGGATGGGATGTTTGTGAGGTAGGTCATTTTAACATTTATTAAATCAACACTACTGTAGGTCTTATCTGCATCTACTGGTCACTTTTACTAAATAAATTCCAAATAGACAAACAGTGAATTGCAGGAATTCATGACTAGTTTTAACAACTAGTAAAGTGTCAAGAACAAATGTTGTAACATCGGTTGCTGTAAAGGCATGCAGCATTGTAGTAATAAATTACTTCCAGCAGGGGGCATAAGGTGCACAACAAATATTGAAATTGCTCCTGGGCGTGTGCCTGTTTTGTTATGATTTCATATCAAATATATTGATATAAAGGGAAATGAGAAAATGCAAAGCAATAAAATCAACTGAGGAATGAAGCAGTGTTGTAATAATACCCTTATATTTGATGAGAGTCAGTGCTTCACAAGCAATGAATAAAACTCATGATTCATACGTTTTCTAATGTTGCCTTGCTTATAGTGAATTTTGAAGCACATACAGTCCTCCCAAACTAGAATTTCGGTCACTTAACCCCAGTAATTCATATCACCATAGTAAAATTGTTTATACACGAAATTCTCTCATCAATTCTGGGTGCACAGAAACGGCCACAAAGTTATTGATATTGTTTGATGCAGTTACATTTCAAGAGCTGGACATGTCTTTAAGAAAGTTGCCAGTTATAAGAAACCTCTTTTTTTTCAGGAGGCAGAGTATATGACAGAAGCACGAGCCAGCAAAGCCAATCATACAAACAGTTGAGTGAGCAGACTTGTTGACTAACTGCAAAGCTGTAACACATTTGCCTGGTTATTATGGCTGTATAGAGACAACAAAATATTATCAAACTGTGCTTTTATGTAGGTTTGTATCTGAATTACATTAGCAATAGGTTATGGCTGTAAGAAGTTTTACATGACACAAATGTCATGATATAAAGGTGTTATCTCTTTTATACCCTGTTACAGCTTTTATGACCGGAGGAGCAGGACAGAATGTTATAGTGAAGAACAGAATCAGCTTGCATCAATCTAAGGGTTATTGTATTATACCACAATATAAAAACAACTAAGAATAAGGTTTTCATACAAGTCCTTGGGGCTACAGTTCGGTCTGCGGTTAGAGATATTTCAAGAGCATAACCTAATAGCATTCCCCTTTTACTAAGATATTTCTCTCCAGTTTAGTTGGTCCTCATAAGAAAGGGTTCTGACTGCTCTGTGCAGCCTGTGATCCCTGAGTACTGGCTGAAGAGAAGGGCAACAAGGGCTCAGGGAGGTTCCCCGGCAGGTCCAGGCCAGGCTGGGTGGGGTGAGTAAGTGACGAAGGGAGGCTGGCAGGCTGGTGGCTCATGGGCAGAGGCAAGGAGGCACTGTATGGAAGAGTAGTGCTGTGAGGAGCCAAAGAGGTGGAGCCGGAGCCCATTTGATTCAGAGTTAGTTTGGGCTGGTCAGTTTGGAATGGATTGGTGGCTGAAGGAGCACTCAGGCCTGGAAAGAAACAAACATAAAACAGAAGAGTATTAAGTTATTCAAATTAGATTTATCTTTCCTGAGACTGGGTTTAGAACCTGATGAATCAAACACTGTTAACATTTAGCTCGCTTGATGTTTTTTTTTTTTTATGTGAATCTAACATGGCACTACAGTGGCAAGGAGAGAAGATCATGTGATTTTTGTAATGGATTCAATTCAAGCAATTCAATTTTGGTGCATATCCAGCAATTTTGTAATCACATTCCTTAACATTGTGAGATTTATCAAGGTTTTTGTCAGTTTCTCAGGAAATAATGTATGGATCTTGATTTTACAAAAATTGACATATTTATGTAGTTGATATCTATGAGTTTGAACAATTTAGTGGAGATCCAGATAGTAATCTGGACCTGGTTGAAGAAAATACTGAATCTGCATTACACACAGAGCTGTACTTATTTATAGTAAGCAACAGTGCATTTGGCACCAGCAGCATTTAGGAATGCTTACATCAGATTTTCATTCAACATGCAACTAATATAATTACACACTAACAATAATGGTTGCGACATAGCAATGAGACGAGCTGTATGAATTGTATAATGCTGACGTCTCAGGCGTCTTCCTTTTTCCTTTTATTTTTCTAAGAGCGAGACAGACATGTAAGAATGTTTGAACTTGGCAGAGGGATGCGCTCTACTGAGTGCCATTCTAGTTGCAACTGTATTACCATTCATTTCTCTGCAAGTAGATTTTTATTCCATACAGAAATAGAGTGGCTATATGGAAGCTAGGAATTAATTTATGGAGTACAAGTGTGACATACATCAGTACATGGTGGACAGTAATACAATTAATACCTGATAAAAAGGGGTTCTTGGTCTTGGCTGGGGGATTCACTGGGATCAAGCTGTCCAGGTTTACCAAGGACGCTGCTGTGGGGCCCAGGAAGGACTCAGGCGTCCGGCATGTACGAGGGCTGGGGGCAGCCAGGCTTTCCCCAAGATGTGACAGGTCAAAGAGCTCAGGACTGCCCTCCCCTCGTCCGTTGACGTTCATCTGACCTCCATCCATGGCCTCATCAAACAGATCTCCATCTGACAGTAGAAAAAAAAGATTTCTGAGATTAAATGTATGTGGGATACACAGAGCCACTGTCAGAGAATGAGAAAAGAGCAAGAGAGAGAAAAAGTAAGAGGATGTTTTGTTTACCAGAGGGGCTTCCAGTTCGGGGAAAAGGTTCCCTGACAGCTCCATCGGCTGTTGTTCTCTCTGATAGGGGGGCTGAGAATGGATCGACTCTTGAGGAGGCTACAAAATAAAAATCAATATAATTTAATTAATGTGACATATTTAATTTCAAGTATCTCCTGTTTGTCTTCGGCTGAGCTGTATTAGTGCATGCACATCACAGACTCACCTGTATTTGCAGGGAAAGCCCACACACGGCCAGTGGCATTGAGGTTAGAGACATTGTTCGGCTGGCCGTCCCAGGGTTCAGCGGGGGGCTCCCATGGCGGGGGAGGACTGTTGGATGGTGGTGGGACCATCCACGAAGCATCTCCTCTTGAGGTGTTAGTGCTGCCTTCTTTATTTACAGAGAGCAGATGTATAGAGAGAGGATGCTTACCATTGCATGTGAGCAGAACAAATTGTATCATTGAGCAGTCTGCCTCTGTCCACAAAGAATGAACAGTTTACTACATATTATTCACACTTGGTGCTTAAACACTCCTGCTTTGGTCACAGTAAAATAACTCAAGGCTCACCCAGGGAGTCCCAGGGGTCTGTTCCCCCCAGTTGAGCTGCTGCCTGTTGTGCAGCATTATTCCATCGACTATCACCAGAAGGCAGATCTGAGGACACTGCAAAAACATCTACCAGGTCCATGAAGGCGGTCTGTCCACATCAACAAGAAAGAAAGCAGCGACAGTTCATTACATTGCTTCAGCACTTGCTGACTCTTATCCTTGATGACAACATAATAGCTAACTTGACTTATTTATGACTTTTAGAAACAAACAGGCTTGAAATCTTTACAGCATAACTGAGGGTTGAGCTATGAAACCTGATCAGACCCAATAACTCTCATCATCATCATAAAGCATTACAGCTGGTTTGGTTGTGATTCTTGGGCGATAAATGCATATTCTCAAATGTATGTTTATACCTCATCACCCCCCCATTGAGATATTCCATACCCCAATATTTCATACCCCGCCTTTAGACTCCATCTGACGTTTGCTTTCCTCCAAAGCTTTCTGGAGCATCGACTCGTCTCCTTGGCGACTGAGTTGTTCCTGTCGACAGATACAGTCACATGGTTGCCTTTGGGTCTGACAGCTTCCGGCAAAATTCACATATTGTCACATCATAATACATTTATGACTCACACGGGCACAAGTGCTAGCGTGTATTTTTTTTTCCGGGGCAACATATGACCCACAGATAGATGTGTGCAATATGCTCAGACCAGAATATTCTCCAGTCAAAGAGATGAGAGCATCACCGTGCTCTCTAACAGAGCGGTTCTATTGTGCTACGGTTTACTGACACAGTGCGAGAGAAAAAAAGGGAGGGAAAAGACAAAGAGACAGAGTGAGACAGGAAGAGAACGAGAGAAAGGTGGGGTACAATGGTTGTCTGATATAATACAACAGTGATATACTGTATATACAACTTTAAAAAAAAAAAAAAGGGAGCAAGTGTGGAAATAAGTTAAACATTTTATAGTGGGAAGTAATCATCAAGAAAAAGTAAATATGAGGGAACATAGAAGATGAGTCCCTACTACATGAAAAGGCCAATAAGGGTAAGGTGGGAACACACTACATCCATGCAAACTATAACTTGATGTGGCCATGGTGAGAAGTCAGTGACCCCAGTTTTGGTGACCCCAAGCAACCCTACCTGTTGGTGCTCTTCCTTGCTCAGGCTCAGGGCTAACTGGAGCTGAGTTTCCTCATCCATATCCAGTGTGGCAGGTGCACGCTGGACTGGCTGCGCGGGTGTTAACCGGGGAGAGAATTGCAGAATCAATATTTGGTCAATAAAAGTGGAAATATCTCTTGGACATCATCGCAGTCCATTGCATGCAATTCTACAGGTGTCCCAAGCAGAGTAATGGGGTCCGTCAAACCCTTTGCCCTTTCATGACACCACACCAGAAGAGGTCACAGTGGCTGAGAGGGGTATCTCCTACCACTGGACTAAGAGGAGAGATCTAGTGGTTAGTGAAACAGAAGGATGAAGTGATTAGGCTCTGGAAAAAGTCGCACGTCCTTTTGCTGTTTAAAAGTGTGTGTGTGTATGGGTGGGGGGCATGGATCAAATCTAGAGAGGAGAGACAGTGAGTAGTTCATGCATGTTGTTTCCCAGAAGGACAAAAACTGGGCCGTGACATTGGTTTTAGTGCAGAGACCGACAGGAGATGTGCTACAGGGTAAAGGATGCAGAGGAAGGATCATCCCTTGTCCCAGTGTACTTGTACCTTTTGTGCCTCCTCCTTGCTGAGGCTCATAGCGATCTGCAGCTGGGTCTGTTCATCAATGTCCACAGGGGGAGGTGGCTAAGGTCAAGCAGGAAGGATTAGGGGGAAGACTAATCAAAGGGAAAGGTAAAATCACGCTTGTTGAAGTGATTCATTGAGAAATTATTGAAAGAATACAATGATTTGCACTGATTCAAAAGAGGAGAGTAGAATTTAATATATACTATAGATCTCAATTTGATCATCAAAATCAAAGCTGATTTCTTTGATTACAGAGGTGGAAACTGCTACGCATGATAATGTGTTTCCATAATAACTGAGCAGAAGTGACAGAGGGCAACGGCTGCCCTTGCCATGGAGACTAGGGCAGGCTGTGTGTGCTCAGGAGTGGATCAATGCACACATCCTGTCTGGCTTCTCACTATTTCACTCACAGTGTCCTCACTCTAGAGCACCGCTCGCACTGATTGGTCAAAGTGCCATTATTGAGCACATCAGAGACAGAGTTGATGGTATCACTTTCTGTGAAAGGTTCTGGGAAACGGTGGCGTGGTAGAGGCAGCAGGAGCCCTTCACCACCATGACTGACAGTGTCCAAGCATGTGTGTGAGAGGCCTTTAATGACTTACTGCAGAATTACAACATAACATGTCAGCAGCAGGGCAGCTAAGGAGCCTCTTTCTGTCAGGCGCATGTGCTATAAGGACAAGAGGTTTGTTCTGTGTGTGTGTGTGTGTGTGTGTGTGAGATCCCAGTTAGAGGTACCTTTTCACTTTCTTCTCGGCTCATAGCCAGGGCCAGCTGCAGCTGCAGCTCCTCCTCTCCGCTGGTTGCGGGCCGAGCTTGCTCCATGTCAGGAGCAAGGCGAGGAGAGGAAGAGGAGGCTACAGAGACAGAGGAAGAGCGGAGGGAATTGGGTGTTTACTGAGGAAGGGGGAGCAGAAGGATGTAGACAGAAACGTTAACAGATGGAAACAGAGGCTGAAGGAGATGGGAAGCAAAGAAAGAAACACTTTAAGACTGATTTTTAACGTCGAGAAAGAGCTGGCACTGTTGTTGCATGTTAATTTTTTTCCATTGCCTGTTGTTTAGGGCCTTTGCTGGCATTGCTTGCCACGGTCTGCCTAACTCTGCCTGCACTGAGAACAATGGTGCGCCTGTGTGGAGAGTTAGGGTGGTGGAGGGGGAGAGGAATGGATGGGTTGGAGTGGGGCCCACCTTATTACCCCAAATCCTCCGGGTAGGATTCAGGTCCATGGTTTGGGGTGGGGGTGGTGGGGCTTGGCAGTATACCAGTCTGGGTGCCAGGCTGTGGGTCATGGGGCTAAAATAGTGCAGGAGGCCACACGTTGGCGAAGTCAGGTCTCAGAAACCAATCGTTTCCACTATGCTGCTCCTCAATATCCCCTGTCTCAGCTGGAATGCTTGCTGCCAATTAGCTGCTGCCAACCATCCTGGCCGACACCCATGCCATCCATCAGCACCAACTCTTCAACCATGCGCTGGTGTCCAGGAATCTCCAGTAGACCACCACTATTCTCCTTTTCTTTTTTTTCCCCTTTTAAAATCACCCAGAGCAGAACAAGAAGCTGTGGTGTTGTTCACACGCTTACACAATAACTCACCTTTCAAGTATTTTAACACCTGCAGCACACCTGCAGATTACTCATTCTTTGTCATACAGTAAACCGTTCCTATTGAGATAAATATCAAGTGATTTTAATGACTTGCTATGATCATAAGAGTGTGAAACTGTTGTGGTTTTCCAGCATGAAATCCAGTTATCAGCTGTATTCATGTTTTTTTTCTGTGTATTACAAGGCGTGCTTGTATTGTAGCATCACTGAACCCCAGATCAAGAACTTGGAGGTTGTAAATGGCCACATGTTTCCGCTGGCGCACATTCCAGCCCAGAAAAGTATGCAAGAAACATCTGTGAAGTGGAAAATGTATTGGTGAAAAAGGGAATTCGTGGTAATAAAACAGTCAGATACAGCCTGTGGGCATAACTCTGTTTACACTATCAAAGAAACCACAGACATGAAAGTATAAGAGAATAACCGGGGCCTTCATGAGGCCACCGCTCTGCTACTGACTAACACCTTTTATAATAAACACCACACAGACCACCAAAGTGCCAAAATATATGCTACACACACCCCTCACACCACATTTACAAACGCTACACGCAGCTAACTTGATGCTTTTCCACAATAGGTTTTCAGATGTGATAATCGCCTACACACTCACACAGGGATCACTTAGCTCCTCTATTATCTCAGCACCTAACCACCTGATCATTGGAGTAGTAGAATAGACAGTGTGACCACAAGTAAACATGGTATCCAGTTGTGGTTTCACATTAGACTGAAACATGCCCAAACAGGGGCCTCCTCTCTTTTGTAAATCCAGTTTAGCTGACATGACTGTAAACGGGAGAATGAGCGGAATGCAGATATTCAACTGACAGTAGAGGTCAAAACACGTTCTATTAAAGCACAAAGAACAAGCAATTAATACTTATCAAGGCTTGAATGTTGGTTTTAAAATAGCACTTATGTCGGATTGATGTTCACATCTTAAAAACTGGACAGAGAGTAGAAATATATAACTGACAGTGTCTCCATAAATGTTCCCTTTTTCTGTCATCAAATGGAAAATCTTGATGAAAATCTGGAGGTGACTGATGAACTGAGAAGTCAACCCTGTTATTCTGTTGCTGTCATCATCCATAAGACCTCATTTGAATATATCTGATAAACACGTGACCAAGTAAACTCATGACCTGTCATGTGAGTGTCCCTTACAAATGACACGTCACATGCCGCAGGAAATATTCAGGTATCTTTCAGATCATTGTGTACTTTGAGGAACGCAAGATAAATTTGGAGACGGCAGTGCTTGTGTTTCATAACTGGTGTATCAAGTGCACATCAGTTAGCTGTCCTGCGATGCTACTCACAGTGAGAGGATGGTGAGCTTCTGCACCTCCTCATATCCTCCCCATAGACCCCTGCCGAACTTGTGCGTTGACCTGGGTAAGGAGGAGGCAAGGATCCAGAGCTTAAGCTGCTGGTGACCCCAGCCATACGCGTCTTGGTCTTCAGTGCCTGGCTCCTCTCCCGCTTCAGCTTTTCCTCATCCCTCAGCAGAGCCACCAGCTGCTTGGCCTTCTCTCGGACATTGATACCCTGGTCACGTCCATCCCGATCTATGTACTGGAAGTCTCTCAGTGTCTGGATGGTGTGTATGTTCTCCCGGCACTCCTGGGCCACGCGCTCGGAGCCCGTTTTGATCAGGTAGTCCAGCAGGGTCAGTGCCTTATAAACATGGCGCCAGTTTTTACCATGGTCATTGAGCCGCTTCCAGATCATACCCATAACCTCAGCGAAAGCCACAACATTGAAGGTAAGGTCTGCGATCTCAGACATGAGCGAGCTGGGAGGCCCCCAGTGGTCGTTGGAGGTGGCCTCTCGGACCTTGATCTCAGCCTCTGTGTAGTTGTTGACCATGTTTTTCATCTGGCGGCGCAGCGATGAGGTCTGCATGATGGCGGTGGTGTTTTACAGGTGGCAAAAGATAACAGAAGTCTAACAGCAGCAGGCCAGCCCGCTGTGTCGTCTTAGGCAAGGTGGCCCGTTAGAGATCAGTTCAACGGAGTGAAGTCGTCCTCCTCTCAGCGATTTCAGTGATGTCCACAAGTGTGTTCCTGCTGTAGAGGGACGCACAAATCAGATGTACAGAAAGGTTTTATTATTCTTGAGTAAAACATTAATGGACAGAACGTTCTCTCATATAACAAACACACAACATCCTCAATGTTGTTACTTCCACTCTTTGCCATTACTAGTGACTACACCTGCACTCTCACATGTTTTTGTTCAATCAGTAACTGTTTTTGGAATGAAAGAGGAACAACTCAGCACCTCCTCTGATTTGAAACACAACAACTGGGCTCTGTTTAACAACTTGAAGAGATCTGAGTGAGAGCATACAGTGCATTGCTCCTAAGTAAGCAATGAACAGCTCGTCCGCTTTGTCATACTTTCAATTTCGCAAAAAGAATAATTTCTTCTTCCCTGAAAAGCACATATTGGTTTCAGACCCAGGAACTACAACCCACCCTGCCCATGTAGAAATCGGTGTTATCAGAGACGGGAGGGGCTCCATCTCTCCTATTTTTCTGACCTGATTACATCACCACAACAGCAGCAACACGGGCTTCAAAGCATTTGAAGACTCACAAAACTGTAAGAAAACAGCTGAACTCCTACACAAATACGCACACAGTGCTCCACCAGAATTGACCAATAGTTTCCTGTTTAGTTTTTTTTTTTATTTTGCTTTAATAATTAAAGATATAAAGCATTAGACAAGATGTTGGACATTGAACTGTTTTGTCCTATGTTGTCAGGGAAGTGAGCCAATAACTAAGCTCTCCTTCACTTAAGAGTCAAATGCTCCATCATGAGTAAGCATTTCCAAAATATCAAAAAGGGGCGTGAGAGGAGAGATGTGCTGTAAAATGGTTTATTGATCCCTTGAGGCAGTGAAATATTGAATACAATAAAACTGCTTTACGACAGATGAAAGATTGCTAATGTATAGCGGTGATACTGTAATGAAACCAACTAAAAATATTTTTTAGGTTAAACACTCTTTAAACATCTCAACAGGCTGAGTGCTCGCACTGTGCATAGAAAGACTGCAGTAGGTTTGCCTGAAATATCTGATACACTGTGAGAAAGCTTCCTGTGCTGTAAGAGGGCTGCAAATAGACTATTAAGTGGTAGTCTGAGAGTCAAAATGTTTGTGGCCCAGCTGACCACAGGTTAAATCTCAAGTGGCGACCAGTGGTGGGCCAGTTAGTCCCATTATCTCCCGCTGCTTCCTGATTCCTGGGATTACTCAGATGCAGACTGTGTGTGGGGAATAACTAAAAAGTCAGTTACGGGACACTTTCCTGGAACTATTCCGTAAATGAAAAGTCAGCAGGGCAGAGGAAGAGGCTTGAACGCAGCTAATGACAGAGAGAGAGCAGCGCTGTAACAGGAAGATCAAAGAGTTTGGGTGGAAATTAAATTCTCCCTGTGGCAAGATTTCTGATCCAATCCTGAAATGCCCCCATTACTGTGCTACTAACACCCGTAGTGAAGATAAAACTCATTTTGTGACACATCCGGCACCTTGATGAAAGAGTAACACATTACTATCACATAAATCAGACTTACAGTACTGTGTTGGGAGAGGCAGCACCCTAACACACATGAATACTCTCTCTATCAAACACACTCCCTCACTCTCTTTCCTGAGGAAATAGAAATCCCTCACACAGAATGAATTGTGACCTTGACTTGGTGGCACATTTCTCTAGATTCTTAGAGCACTCTGAAATATACTATGGAGGATTCAATTCATCTGTTAAACATATATTCTTGCTCTGATATCTGTGCAAGATCATTTCCTAACACTATCTCTGCATATAGGAAGCAAAGTGAGAACTGCACCCAGATCAGGCCTCCATTATTCGCCCAGGTATGTTTAACTGTGTCCCCTACAGATGTGTGTAGAGAACGGTCAGCCGCTGAATGAAAGAAAGCAGGGGGTCTAGATTCAACTTATTTCTCTAACATGTCCTCTTTTATTTTTTGTCCTAAACCGGGACGACTCGGCCCATCATTATCGTGCATGTTGCGTCAAATGGGACGATCCGGTAGGTGAAGTATGTGACCGTGACTCAGCTAGCAGTTCCCGAGTTTAAAAGTTAAAAAGCTCGACAGAAATAAATCCCGAGAGAGTAAACGCTAAATCCCAACGACCCGGTTCGCTGCTTCCACTTTCGCTCTTACCTTCATGACATAGCGCCTTCCGTGGGATCCCAAGTTAGGGGAGGCTTCGGGTGGAAGGAGAAACGCCTCCGCGACTCGGCATGTCCCGGAGCTTTCGGACAGGGGAAAAGAACTGGTGTAGGAAGAGATTGAAAACACCGCGGAGCACCGTGTGTTCTTAGAATGAATCCAGAAGTAAAACGAGGCGGTGCCGATTTGTTATCAAACTAAGTTGTGTGTGCATATCACAGATCCAACCGCTGGGTTTGCAGATGGCAGAGCCACCCCCCCCTCTCCACTGAAAAAAAAAAAACACACAACCAAAAAAATGGATGGGGAAGGGNGAGAGAGGGGGAGAGAGAGAGAGAGAGGGAGGGAGGGAGGGAGGGAGGCCTGCTCAGTGCATGCAGAGTCAGACTTAACCCTTTCACTGCCTGATAGAAAAGCATCTGTGTGTGCTGACTGGGAGCAGGTGATCAGAGCACACACACACACACACACACACACACACACACACACACACACACACACACACACACACAGGATTATACTGTATAGGAACAAAACAAAATAATTATGCAGTATGTGGTGTAGGCAGAGACACAGGCATAGCAGCACAGCGTGCTATGGTTCAAACAAATCTGCTAATACACTATTTCATATCCTAAAGAACAACAGTGATCCTATATTACATTTCATGAGACCACTGTGCAACAGTCACCCCCGTGCAAGTAATATAATAGCTAAACATTAGAGGAACTACACACACCCCACAGGCAGACAAATCTAGTGACATCACAGTTTTGCACTAAATAAATAGCATAAAATATGATAACATGGGTTTAAAGTCAACCCAAACTCTGTAATTTCCCATAGAGCTATAGTAGAAAGGCTATGCTGTAACAATGTCCTGCAGAGTGAGTGAACGTGCACGTTATCCCAGAGGGATACCACAAAGAACCACATTTCCTTTTCAGCAGCTTCATCATTGCATCTCTGCTCTTTACTTATTTATCACCACTAATGGGATGTTGTCTGAAGTCACATCCTTATAAATCCTCTATGTATTTAAACTGGCTCGCATTCAGTAGCACTCGGCCCAAAAGTAAGTAACCTCCAGCCACCTACAAGTTGTGTTTGAAAGTACAGAAGGGTCATTCATATCTCAGCGTTGAGTGAATAATGATTATCTAACTGAGGGGAGAAGCAGCGGGACAGAACAGTGGCCCTTGTGGCTGGTTGACTGAGCAGGATATACAGGAAATACCAGCTCCACCTTGAAACAACAAAGGCACAACTCTTGGAGACGACAAAAGGGCGAAGTGTAAAGAAAGCAAAAGTTCATCAAGCAAAGTGAAACTAACTCTTTAAAGAGGACTTCTGGGGAATTTCTCTTGCTCTGATAAACTGTTTGAATACATTTTGTCAGGGTGTTCTCCTGGCTGTACATTCCCTGTTTTCACTTTTATGTGACTCTCGCTGATCAGAACGGTCCAGCTCAACTTCATGTACCTCCTCCGGCCCTCCTCCTCTCTGTCTTGCCACCCTATGTCTTTATTTCTCCTGAAAACAGATGCCTGAACAGCCTTTGTTTCCCAACAAAGGCCTGATGAGGTCAGCGCTGGGGGGACATGCGGGCAAGGTCTGGGAAAACAGAGGGGGAGGTGAAAGGAGCTGATAAATAACACCAGCCTACTACTGCACAACAGTGACGTCACACAGGAGAGGAAATCTGACTTCTTAAGTGTGGGAATGTGTGTGGGTGTGGGTGTGGGTGGGTGTCTCTGTGTGAGCAAGAGAAAGAAGGAAAGACAAAGAGACATAGACATAGAGATTTTTTTCTATCATATTTGAAGTTAATGGTTGTTGCTACAAAAATACAACATGAATGTGTGTTATCACTGATCAGTTTCTGTGCACTCAAGGAACTCATCTCCAAAAACTTTAACTTTCCTGTAATGGAATCTGCTCCTCTTTGCTGCCATCTAGTGGTATTTTGTTTGTTCTCGGGTCGGTTGCGTCGTACTCTCCTCTGGCTGCTGACACTGTGATGTTAAGTCTGTAATCAATGTGTTTGTTTCCTGGCATAGATGTCCTCAGTTCATAATGAAGTGATGTTTTATAGGTACTTAACAAAACAAACACAATTCTACAGGGAAGTGGTGAAGTGAGGGGTGACTACGCCTCTGGAATCAAAGAGATGACTTGGTTATGTCTCATACTGTATTTAGGTGGTTTCAGTGAATCATGCAACATCTAAGATGATGCTGCAGTACGTGACTATTTCATAGGCTCATGATGTGGTCCAATCATCTCCACAAATATAAACCTAGCTGTATCTTATGAAAGCAGTCTCTATATTCATCCATACACAATTGACAGCCAGTATGATTACAGGTAGTTTGCCAGTAAACAGCAATACAGGTATGGGCTTTGCAGTTTGTTGACATTGAGTTTTACTTTTATATGCTGTATGAACTATACATTTGATATACATCAAATGTATACAGAGAGCTCTATGACTCCCTCTCTGGTGGAAATGTTGTATAAGAGCAATCCAAATAGACATATCTAGTATCTGAAAGGTTTTGTGCTGTGTAAGAAGTGCTGATATTCCACTGAGTGTATGAAAATCCATTGTATTGAACCATGTTTTACAGCTGAGGGCTCTGACATTTTACTTCTGAAACACATCGCCAGTTCAAAAATCATGTTTATAAGCCATTCTCACAATATTAAATATTTAAGTATCAAAGCAACAAAACAATGTTTATTGTGTTTTTTTTGTGCTGTTAAATTTGGCCCAGGGTCTTCAGGACCCCAAGCACATTAGTGTTAAGTAGAAGGTATTAGTATTTGTTTTATATGGTGTATTAATCTCCAAACTAAGGATCCATATAGTAAAAATATATAATAGAGACAATGGCATAAGACCCAATTACTGACGATGTCTTAAAATCCTATTGATGTTTACTGCTGACAAGATAATTGACATTGAGGATAAAGGCACAATTTATGACTCACTGTTTTTTTATACTATATAGATATATGTCATTTTAGAAGGTATTTAAATGCCTGATTAAGTTTGAGTACTGTAAATAACATTGCTTTGTCTTCCATCAATAAATCATTATACATTTTAAAGCAAAGAATATGCGCCACTGTTACATTTTTCCATCACAATGTGGTTTTCGGCTGCAGCACGGAAATGAGATTGCTCTCTCCATGGCAATCAGTCTGTCCTCTCTACGACTGCACATCCAACCCATTCTTCAGGTTTCCAAGAAGAAACTGTTATGTGGGCTGTCTATTTAGAGCGGCCTTGGTTTGTGAAAAGGATGGAGAGAAAAAAGCTGCAGTTCTTTAGTATGCTCTGGCTTCTGTAATGAACTGAGAAAAGTATTTGTGTTAGTGCCAAGTTCAGTTCAAGTCAGGCAAGGTGTGATTAGGCCTTGAGCTGTCACTGTGTTCCCTTGCCAAACCTTCCCTCTAAAATAAGTGTATATCTGCTGATTGCAAATGTTCCTCTAGATGAAAGAAAGCTTATGAATTATGCCCCTGTAGTGAAGTCCCTACTAAGTCATGAATGTGTTGCCATACAGTGGAAAATAACATCAGATTACAGCTGTTGAAGCTGGTGCTGCTGCAGAGGACTCATCATCAAGCTTCATGAATCATAGAGCAGAGAGAGAGAGTGCCATCCCAACACTCCCAGCAAGTCGTGATCACTGCTGAAAACAACGGGGATTTTATGCAAGTACTCCTCACGCCAGGCTCATGAATAACACAACCCCAAATGCACAGTTATGGCAGGTGATGCAGGTATAGTGACTTCTGTTACGAAAACACTGTGTGTAGGTTATAGAAACATATAAACACATACAAAGTGAGAACACCAAAGAACTACCATCAACATGGAAGTGTTCTCAGAGAATGAACAAAATTAATTGAAGCTCACACTTCACGCCCACAGTGTCCATGATTACAGGGATTTGGGTAATTATCTAAACAATTTGTCCAGCAGTTCATTCATCCATTTATCCTTAATGAGACAAGAAACACCTGCACGTGAAGGCGCTAAACATAGACAAGTACCTTGTAATTAGGTTTGAGCAGATCTGAGTGCTTTTTTTTTCAAGGATTTGCCTCAGAACAAAGTGATCAAAAGCATAATTTAATCATCAGTTTGAGCACATTTGGAAAGCTGCAGCATACCAAATGAAGAGTCTAGAACTCGTTTCTTCAAGGGAAAATTACAAGAGTTTAAAGTGGAGATAGATCTTGTCTGCTTTTATTTTTTTGTTTGTTTGAGGGCTTCTTGATGCTTCTATAAAAGGAATGTGTTCTGGATGAGGTCCTGTGACGCAGAGACTGCGCTTGGTGTGGGTGTATAAGAGTGGACGCTCGGCTCCATTTCGAGCACACATGGACAAGCAGCCGGGCTGGTGAGATTTTGACAGCCTCTCCTCTCAGTGCCCGGAGACGCTAGACAGAACATAGAGATGAACACAACTGAGAAGTTTTACCTTCCCGTTGATGGCATCTTCGAAATGTTCAACTCTCTCACCAGCTATCACCAATCACACATTACGCACCTAGTCCTGCAGAGCACAGGCCTTACCCCGGCACTCCAGCACCCCAAAGTCTCAAACATATCGAAGACAGGTATGGGCATCATCAAATCGGTTAAAGGGCGATGGAGAGAACAGGATAAGAGGGCGGCTGCGATTAGATCCTCAAGTTCTGGCAATCGGCAAGTATCAACAGATCGAGCCCCAAAGAGGTCCGTGGATCTGCAGGAGTTGGGTCTGACCAAGCCCAGGAACTGCCACAGAGTAGTTGTGCTTGGCGCACCCAGAGTAGGCAAAACCAACATCCTCCAGCGGTTTTTGGGTAAAGAATTTGAGGAGCACTATCAACCCACAACTGAGGACTTCCACAGAAAGCTGTTCCACATCGGAGGGGAGGCGTACCAGGTTGATCTTCTAGACGCATCAAGTGAGAGGGACTTCCCTGCAAAACGGAGGTTATCTGTATTGACAGGTGAGCCAGTATTCTTATCATAATATTTATATATAATAATATAATATATAATATAATATAATATAATATTTGTATATAAGACTTTGTAAGATTATGGGGATTATTGTGTCCTTAAACACCTGCTCTCTCTCTTTTTCTTTCCTTCCAGGTGACATATTTCTGCTCGTCTTCAGTTTGGATGACAAAGACTCTTTCAGTGAAGTCTGCGAGCTGCTGAACGAGATCAAAACTGCCAAGGCAAAGTTACTAAAATTAAAAAATCCCGCGAGAGTGCCGGCCGTGATATGCGGGAATAAAGCGGACTTGGAAACGCGGAGAGTCGTCAGTCGGTCAGAAGTGACAGAAGTCCTAGGTGAGGGGGTCTCATTCTTCGAAACCTCGGCTAAAGACGGTTCCGGACTGGAGAGTATGTTCGGAGCTCTTGCCTCCCTGGGCGGACTGCCTGACGAGACCAGTCCGTCACGGCATCAGATCGTATCCATCCCCACCTACCAGTCGCTGTGCATCGGCCAGCAAGGCAGCAGAGGGAGCCGGACGCGGGGACTGATCGGTGCGCCCTGTGCCGCCGTGGACCCTCTGGCTCGCCGCCCGAGCTTCAACAGCGACTTGCAGCTTGTGCTTGGATCAAGCACCAAACACAACAAACCAGAGAAGTGTCAGATTCAATGAATTGTGAGCCTTCTCGATAAACCAATTGTAGTAGTATGCTGCAATGTCTTATTATGTATGGAGTTATACTCTGTAGCACCTGGCTGGACCAGTGCGTTCATATTTTATTATAATATAGGCTATGTTACTGTATTATGAAATCCTACAATAAAACCGTTTTTGTCATATGTGCACTGTCGTCATCTGTTCAACCAATCAAAGTCATCGATTTGATTTCACACTTGTAGCTCATTGATGAAAACAGGTGATGGAGACAGATACCGTTAGATTATGGACGTCATGAACGTCATGAACGTCATGAACCAATTGTTTTCAAGTGATGATGCAAAACCTGGCCATACATGTGTGGGAGGGAGGTGACTCAAGCACCGGCCTTAAACGTCTCCTAATATCCGCTATCAGAGAGACTGTTCACATTTCAGTGCGCCCACGGCACCAAGGACCGAGGTGTGTCAGTGCCTGTTAATCAGCACCAGGAGTCCACACACACACACACGCACTCATGCATCACCGTGGTACTTCAAGGAAACAAAGAGTTGGGGCATCCTTTATTAAAGAGGGGGGAGGTGGGCGAGAACTGTATGAAATCAGCACCATGGAGAGAGCCTGACCGGTTATTAAACTCAGCTCTGACTGCAGCTCTGCTGCTGGGCAAGTTCAATTTATGTCATATCACTGAAACAGATTCATTAAAGAGTCACTTATTGACAATGAAGGCAGAGAAAATTTTGTAACACTGCTTTTCAGGCTCCTTTCCATCTATCATCTTTCCCTTTACTCAAGGCCAAACAAAAAGTTCAGCACTATTATTTAACCTTCGTTGGTTTAGTTTGCTGAGTTGGCTGATTTCCAGAGAAATCTCTGTCAAAAATCTGCTCCATTAAAACCCAAAAAGATATATTCATCCATTATTCAATCATTATTGTAAACTTCAGTTTTCATATAAAGGAAGGTAACACATTAAAGGAGAAACCTGGAAAATGAGTGGAGAAACAGGATGACAGTGCTCATTGGGCTCAAGGCGTCACTGACTGGTTTGACAGTATGAAAATGATGTGAATCATATGCTTTGGCCTTCGAGGTAAGATCTAAGATCTGAGGCCAATTGAACACCTATGGGCGATTTTTTATACCAACGAGTCAGACAGCGCTCTCCACCCCCATCATCAAAACACCAAATGAGGGAATATTCTTAGGAAGAATGATGTTCAGCCTCCAGTAGAATCAAGACAACATAGTGGCCCAACACTTTACTAAGGCACTTTATGTTAGTTTTTCCTTGAATTTGTCACCTGTGTGTATGTTGAATTGTATGCGCCTGGACACTAAAAGGCTCCAATGAAGTCTATTTTCTCTTTAATTAATACACAGATCTTTCCAAGGAAATTATTAGAAAATGAAGTTACTGCCAAAGATTTTTCCCGTTTACATTTTTATAAGGATTAATGAATAAAATGAAAGTTCCAAAAGAGAGAGTCTTTTTCTGAGAATGTGTTGAGGCTACAGTCAGAGCTGGCCAGAACATATATATTAATTCAGATGGTGTGCTATCTACAGTATTATACGTAATAACTATTGCATATGATTTTAGCAAATTCTCTGCCTGCACAGCTTTTCTTGGCAAATTCTCATCTGAGTGTCTGTCACTGTGCTGAACAAGGTGTGTGGCTCAAATATGGACTGGCATGGAGTTGGATTCATCTATTCAGGAGGTGTATTATAAATGCAGCACTTTAATACAGGTATACACAGAAGAACGCACAGGCATTCGTATCAACTCAAAACAATGTCTGAGTATGCACCATGTCATTAATAATTATGTTTAGATGACAGTAAAATGACTTAATTAGAAATGTTTCAGTGCCAGCCGTAATTACACTGGTCAGGTTGTTGTGGTTCGAGTCGTCATGACTGCTACACATCAAAGTAACAAAGAGAAGGAAACAATAAATTCAATGTGAAAAATGGCACAGCCTTAAATAAGGAATTTAAATATTATAACATTAAAAGGAAATCATTTTTGGGTTTTTTTTTTAAAGTCCTGTCAGCCTTACCCATGAACAAGCTTTCTCCAAAGTCTCTGCTCTATTTAACATTACTGTCATTATGAGTTAGATGTCTTCTGTGTTTGTCCATTACCACTCTGGTCCCTTTGTGGCTTCTGGAGGATTTTGGTTTCCAGTTCCACCAGTAGAGCTGGCAGTATGCTGTCCAGTAAAGCCAGCCCATCCCAGGAGCAGCGCAGACCTCTGATAAGAAGAGGGGGAAAAAACAGACGAGATTCAGACATAAGTGTAGAGCTGCCAACATTTACTCAAATAGTTGATTGACAGAAAAAAGGAAAAGAAATCTGCAACATTTTGATAATTGATTAATCATTTTAGTCATTTTCAAGCAAAAACTCCAAACATTCCTGGTTCCAGCTTTTGATTTACTTTTGGGTTTAGACCAAGTAAAACTAGCTATCTTAGTTACCTTGGGTTATATAGCTGGAAAGTATAACAGGAATTTTCTGACATTTTATAAACAGAACGATTAATTATGATGAATGAAAATTATTTGTAGCCATACACAAATAGAGAATATCTTTTTTCTCCAATGAAAAGGTAAAATTTTGCATCTAAGTAGCGTAAAATAATAATTGTAAGTCACCTGTCATCAAGAATCAGCTGTCCGTTCTGCAGCAACTCTCGGACATCTGTGGATGTACCAAAGACTTCATGGAGGCAGAGCTGAGGGCTAAACAACTCCCAATGCTGTTAAATACCAGAGAATGACCATAAACATTATTACATTTCACAAAATTCATGAAGATCATCTTAAATGAGGTATGAAAAGAGAAGATTACATAGAAACTGAATAGAACGTTTTCCATTAGGGCAAATCATGTGGGTATAGAGGGTGTATTGTGTGTGCTTTACCTTGTGATTAATGCCCTCTGTCATTCTCATCCCCATCACCAACACCTCCTCCAATCTGCCAAACAAACAACACTTTGAAAATACAACTTCACAGATACTCACAAGGACGGGACAGAGTGAGTAAACGGACTGAATGGACGAGTCTGATGATTGTGTTTCACAAGGACAGAATGTCTGAAAGAACATGCACGTGTATAACAACCTCTAACACTATGTTTCCTCACACTGTACTGTATTATGCTCAGCGGATTGGCTGATACACAACTGTTACATTTCATATTAACAGAGAATTTTCTGGACTGAAAGGTGCAGCTGCCCTCTTGTGTAATAACCAAATATACTCATTAGAAGACGCAACACTACTGCCTGTCAGTGCAACAGCTCACAGTTCAAGATGGCCGAGCTGAATCCTCCTCCGTGTCCCATGTCCCCTCTGCTGGACTTCACGGATCCACACGTCAGGCTCGAGAGTCTGGGTCCGCGCCTCCCGAACGACACCTCCCTCCCCCAAAGGGACAAACCGGCCATGTGCTCCTGTTAGACACAAAAAAAATGTTAAAACTAACTTTTCTACACGTGCAACGTTCATCAACCACTGCTTTCAATCTAGATAATAGATCACCTGGGCCAACGCCGATGTATTGTCTTCCCTTCCAGTAGCTCATATTGTGATGACCCACCGCATTCTGTATTACACAATGAAAAGTGTTACCGTGTTGTCGTGATTGTTCCTCTCAGACATGTTCATGAGTCAGTGTGGTGTAAAACAAAGCAGACATCTGCCTTGTTGATGAAGCAGAGTTCATCAAAAACAAAACAGAAAAGCTGAATAACACCACAGAGTAAATCATAAGCAGCAGCAGACATTGTTTAATTTTTTTTACCTCATACATTTTTTAACATTGGTCAAATGTTCTTCAGTAGTTAAAGTGTTGCTAAATCTCATTAGATTTTCACTGCTCCATGGCACAGGACTACATCTGCGGCACAGAACGATTTAATGCTCTACTTTCTAACACCTTAAAAAGATTGTGTCACCAGCTGAGCACTTTTAACGTTAAGGAGCAGCAGGATGTTCTGTCTGCATCAGCAGTAACTTAACACACCACTGACGCAGTGTGAACTGCGGGTGAACAGTAAACATTGAGGCTGTTGTCAATCATTGTTCCCTGTTAATCCCCATGTGCAGGTGAAGGTAACACGAAAGTTTGCCTGGCTGGCAGCAGATTCTGCCACTAACAATGAAAACGACTCTATAAAGAAGGATACTGCTAAATGTAAATACATTAAAGATCTGGGACAAACACCAAGGGGCTCTAAGGTCAGCTCCAGCTCTAAACTCTTTTTAAACCTAATTACCTTTCTGTTTGCAACTATTCATTTTTAGGGCTCTTTAATACTAGTTGTTTTTGTTTAAATTTTACTCAAGAAATAAATCAAGGAGATATTATTAAAATATCAACTATTTTCTACACTGTAACACTGAAACTTTGTCCTCTGTTCTTTTGTGTCTTTATTTCAATAGTTTTTCTATTTTTTTATCTATTGTCCTTGTTAGTCTCTTTTAAGTGTTGTAATGTATTTGTATGCCTCAAAAAGTAACTATGATTCAAAACCCATCCCACTAAACTAGATTAGCCTTTCCTATAATCCTTATATTGGAATCAAGCAAATCAAGGGAGGAGGACAACTTTTTTTAAGGTCAATGGATGAAAAGTCATTCTGCTGAGGACTTACATTTCTTGCAAAGTTTGACACTTCATACTGCAGAAAGCCTCTGTGGTGGAGAGTCCTCCTGGCACACCGGTACATCTCTGCCGTCACATCATCAGCTGGCACAGTCACTTCCCCTTGTTGCACCTGTTTAAACAGCTGGGTGCCTCGCTCCAGGGTCAGCTGATACAGAGACACATGGTCATCACACGCCCTCAGCAGCTCGGACAACTCATTCTCCCAGGATTCAATGCTCTGCCTTGGGCGTCCGAACATGACATCCACAGACACCCTCCCTGGGCACAGCCGTTGAGCCTCTTCAATGGTTTTCAAAGCCTGATGAGAACTGTGGTCTCTTCCCAGAATTTTCAAGTCATTATCCTGCAAAGACTGAAGGATGGAAATGTGATATGGAGAGTGTAACTACACAACATATAATCTATTCTTCTGTGATCAGTCCTCTCCAAATTATATTCACCTGGACCCCAATGGAGAAACGGTTCACCCCAGCACTGCAGTAATCCTCTAACTTTGACATTCCCACAGGTGTAGGGTTGACCTCGAGCGTGACCTCGGCCTCATCTGGTAGATTCACCTGCCTGGAGACAGTTTCAAGGATTGTAGCAATGGTGGACGGGCGTGCAAGGCTCGGAGTACCACCGCCGAAAAATACAGAGGTGATGCTGCAAATTAAAACAAAGAAGGATAAGCGAAGGCATGTGTCGAGAGCTGCAGGGATGATTGGATGATATCATGTGGTATGTCAAAATAAATAAATACATAAAAATCAACATACCAGGATACCTGACTGAGCTGCAGCAATGTGTCAGTCTCCCGCTGAAGGCAGTCAGTCATGATGTGGTCATTGTTCTCTCTGGGTATATACTTGTTAAAGTTGCAGTAGGAACACCTCCTGAGACAGTAAGGCCACTGTAAATTGGAAGAGGACGTTGACATCATTTGGGCAAACTTTCCTGACATGACATTTCTTTTGCATTAAAAAAAAAAAGCCCTGTAATAAAAACAGATCTAATTCACTTCATGGATATGCATTTGCAGATGTGTGTGTATCTCTGCATAGAAATATTTCATTTACAGTTAGTTAAATTGACCAAAAGCCAGCTCACGTGTACGTAGAGAGACGCCTGCTTTGTGAGATGTGGAGAGCCTGCCCATTCAGACACATCTCCAATTATTTCCCCGCCAGAGAAGAAGCGCAGACCGGGAGAGAGGGCACGTCTGGCCCGGAGAAATGTGTGTTTGATCATTCTGTATCTCGGCTATCTGACGGCGGATTTAATTAGTCTGTCCTTCACTTGAACACATGGCTCCTTACAGCAGCAACTGCACGCGTCTGGCTCCATTGTAACTGTTAAAAAAAAAAAACTGTGTCAAACTTACTGTGACACCAACATCACCAAAATACCTACAAAGTAGTGTGGGGTCATTTTGTCTGTTCAGTAGCTGTCACATCGCTCCAAACAGGAAACACGTGAATGTGATTTCCTCTTTGTGTGTTACAAACTTTGTCCACACAGAGGCGCTGTTTTTTTACTAGTGTAAGAACATAGACTGTATAAGAATCACCCATCGATTACAAACTGCACTATGGACAGGTGTAATTGTGCGACAGTGAAAGTGTGCAGGTGAGTAAATGGCTCAGGTGAATTAACCCATTTCTGCAGTTTGAGGCCTATGTCCACCTGATTACATAACTTTATTTAATGCTTAATAACATCTCATGTAAACATCACAGAACAATGGTTAGTGGATTAAATTGAGAAAGAGACTATTAAAAGTATATCTACTGTATAGCTATGTACATTTTTAATCTTAATGAAAATACAAGATAGTGTAATTACTTTTTAAAAAGAAAAGCAAAAACAATAAACAGAATCTTCTAACACACGAACAATGCAAAGCTTCAATTTTTACATTGTCTGGTTCCCACACTTCTCGTCAACAAGAGTACCAAATTTCAGTTTGATGTGTGGAGTTGTTAAGGTTGTGGAAGGCAGTTAGTAAGCAGTGCATCCTTCTTGTGTGTTGAACTTATCCAAAACCTCTCCAAAATGGCTAAAATTTATTTCTCAACATTTCAAGACATTGATTTTAATAGAGATGTTGGTGACTTTTTCTGATAATGAATGACAAATGGCTCATTCCCCTTGCTTCAGTGTTGACTTGTATTAAATGCAAATAGTCCTACACTATTTTTATTATAGTTTGTTGCTCGTGTTGTACATGGGCATCTAAACACTACATTCATTTAGCATGAGACTGAATTAAATATCAGCAGGTCTTTGTAAACAGTGGTATTTGTTTTTGCAGTGACAACACAAAAAGACACGGGTCTATATTTGGAATATTATTTGTGCTCTACTCACACAGGATCAAACTAATTTAATGAGCTATTGATTTCCCTGAACCCAGGGAAAAAAACTTTGTCTAGTGGGCTGACAGTGAAATAACCTTGTTGGATCACCTTTAGAATTAGGATATTAATTCTAACAATCAACACTGTTTGAATGTTACTAAAAGCATTCACTCATCAGGGTTACTGCTAATTAAATCTCTTCATCATTTCTAGGTAAGAGCCAACACAGCTCTGTGAGTGGACAAACAACTCTACAATCCCTAGATGCTTGTCACCTTCAAATAATTGCCTCTGCTCGGCACTGATTAATTTTGCAGGACTTGTTGTGATGATCACACAAATCAGTTATATGATGTGTGCCCGTATCTAAGTGAAGAAATGGGCCAGTCAACATCAACAACAAAGAAAACTAACTGTCCTTTGCTACATTATTCCTAACATGTTACAATATAGACAAATTCATTGAGCAATTAATCTAAGTATTTCATTAAAGATGTCAATAAATGTGAATGTGCTCACTGCCAGCTTCCGACCCTGAGGACATTTTCCACTTAATATTAAATCTGGTGCCCAATTACCTCATCAGCAGATAGATAGAGAGAGAGAGAGAGAGAGGGATTAGGAGAGGGAATAGGGATGTGTTTTCATAGAATACATGCAACAGCTATGGTGATGAGCTCAGTCCAGTGAGAAGCTGGAAAACTTTGAGAGAATCTAAATTAAAAGAGTGAGTGGACTGTAAATCTACCAAATGGATAAGAGGAAGAAAGGTAAGCTCACTGATTTAAAATGTACAGAAGGTAAACAAATGTGACATGGAAACAATTAGGCTTCTCTGCTTTACTTTAACTCAAGCAGCAGAACTAATAAGGTGGGCGTATCATAGGTCAAGTCAGTTTCTATGCCATTTAGCAGCTAAAAGAGACCTGGATACAGATTTGGCAGCTTGTTGGTCATGTTCTCCTAAGGATGAGTTGTAATCTCTCTGATGATCTGCTGACTTTTCAATAGCTCCACCATCAGAATTTCAGAATCAAAATTTCAATTTGTCCATTACTTTGGTTTAGGAACAAATACCTACAGAACTAATAATAATACTGTGAGTTTTATGAAATCACTATGTGTTTTGTGCTAAGTAGCAAAAGTCAGCATGTGCTAACATGCTAACTAAGATGTAGCATTATATCATGTCAACATCATAGTAATCATTTAGCTCAAATAACATACTCACAGACTCATGGTCTACATGAGAAAACTAAAAGAGGAAATCATCTTACAGTGCCCTGGTAAAACCACAAGATTATTTGAGAAAGCATTATTTTGTCAGCCTCTTGTACAAGTTATTAGATATGAATTTTATGCGCTTCATAGCTGGATATAGAATAACAATGATAAGTGAGAGCATTTTTTTTGCAGTTTTCTTCTTTCTGAAATTCAACTGAACTTCTCTTTTCACAGGCTCTTCTACGGAACTGAGGCTTATGGTGGTTGGTAGCAGTGGACCTTCTCAGTTCCTACTAACCAACACCATACTTGGGAGAGAGGAGTTTTCTAAGGATATCTCCTGCATTTCTGGCAGCAGGAAGAATACTGGAGAGCTGGCTGGTCGACGAGTGGCTGTGGTCAATGGACCAAACATCTATGACAAGGATATGTCTCGAGCCAAGACGAGGATGGAGCTAAGAAGGTCTAAGTGCTTATGTATCCCTGGTCCCCATGCCTTTCTTGTTGCCTTTGACATGGAGAAAATATCCCCGAATGACATAAATACACACAGACTGATGAAGAAACGCTTTGGAAGGCACTGTCTGAAGCACTGCATGGTCCTCCTGGCCTATGAAGGAAATCTGGAGGAAGCTGCCTTGGAAAACAAAGTGCAGAAGACTGACTGGCACCTGAGAGAACTTATCGAGAAGTATGGTGGACGCTTTCACATTTTCAGCAAGAACTGTAGAGATCGCAGCCGGGACAGAGAGCTGCTGCAGAAGTTAGAGTTGATGGTGGCCTCATTAGGGGGTGGCTACTTCTCTAGCAGAACTTTCCAGAAGGCAGAGGACTATGTGAAGAAGGAGGAAAAGAGGCTCAGGAAGAAGAGAACAGCAGAGATAGAGAGGGCCTGGACTGACATGGAGAAACGGTACGTAGCGGACGAGTTGTATCACCAGAGGGATGCCTACACCACCAATGTTGGCGTTGAGATCAGAGCCAAGGCGGAGATGGACAATGGATGGCTCAGGACTTCCCTGGCCAGAGGGCTGGGGACAGGTGTGGTTGTGGGAGCTATCATGGGAGCACTGGTTGGGTCCATAGAGGGGCCAGGAGGGATGGTTCTTTATGGGATCATTGGTGGTGCGGTTGGAGGATCAGGTGGAGGAACAGCCCAGGTCGCTATAAAGCATATAGAGGACAGAGTGGTTCCAACTGCTAGACTCAACTTTAACTCAATTTTTATCAATCGCTTCTTTGCAGCTCCTCGACCATGACGGCGTGGCATTGAATTCCTACCTGTTTTTCAGGAAGCAAGAGAAAAGATTTATATCATGTGCTCCTGGTGTGTAACTGTTGGTTATGTAGCTTTCAAGCTGACCTGACAGAAAATAAGATAAGGAAATGTAAAACTCCCTTTAGGTTAAAACACAAACTTGACTCCCCACAAGTTATATCACCTACATACTATACTATACTGTACTACTATACTAAGCTACTGTTTTGGTGCACACATAGTTTAAGGGAATTACTAATGGTCAAAAACAATAAATCTCACGGCTGATTTAAACTGTAAATGAATATATTTTAAATAAATGTTGTGATTACTGACAGCATTTTTGGTTTTGTTTTTAGCCTCCCAACATTTCCTGGAGTCTTGCTGTGGGCTGGTTAAAGGGTAGCTCAGATAACATTCAAGGTGGAGTCTCAACTGAGAGTGCCATTGTCTAAAGCACCGCCCCTTTCCTGGACAACACACACACACACACATACACACACACACACACACACACACACACACACACATACACACACCTTAGTACACCTGCTGAGTGTCAACCATTACAGTCTTTATGTATTATTGCCGTGGAACTCTGAACAGAAGCAGTGCAGGCTGACCACAGTGCTATCTGGATAAGATCAACTGGGATAGGTAAGACCACACTTTGCTCCTTGAACTTTTCGATATTGTTTCCTGTTTTTACTTTTGTCCGATTTTCTGACTTTTAGACAAAAATCAGATGTGACTCATTCATGAACATGTTGCGTAATCTGAGACTGATTCCTGAATGAATGTCAGAGTACAATGGAGTCAAAACTCAGGGACTATATATCTCATGAGAAACAATCTTAAACATTCAGTAGAAGAGTCGTAGCACCCTGATGACGTAACAAACAATTTGGCTGCTACCTGTTTGACTACATACTTGACATCACATCTTTTACATAGCTGCTTCCCTTCTCTGTTAGTCTATCACAAAGAAATTCTTTTCAATTCGAATGTCTGTGGCAATGACAAAAATAAGACATTGTGACTGAAAATAACCAGAGGGCTAGGATTCACTATGGGGAACTTTAGCATGAAATGAATGTTAAATCAGTAAAAAAAAAAAAAACTAAAAACACATAACCATTTCTTTGTGTATCATTACATAATATGAGAGGAATGCTGTTGTGTCCAACAACATGACGTTGACTGATCCTGTCTGTCTGAGTGCTGCATAACCCAGCGGAAAATGCATTTTTGCTTGTTTGTTCATAAACAAAAAATATCTAAAATTACAACTTTTTGTTACATTTTCAGTAAAGAACAATTGTAACAATATGTACAATATGTATTTTACTTGACTGTTTCCATTTTCTGCTGCTTTATATTTCTAATGTACTACGGTTCGGAGGGAAATATTGAACTTTTTACCCCATGTTATAGGATAGATATGCAGTAATTACTAATTACTTTACAAAACAAGATTTTACATTTAAAAACATAAGACACATGATAAGCTTACAAATTACAGATATATTGTGGTTTCCAACCTTTTTGGCATGTGACAGTATGTAGTCGGCTCCCTTGCAACTTTTAAGATGTCTTTGTTTTTCTCTTCTTTCCTGTCCCATTGATTATCTTGCAACCCCTCAGGTTTATCTTGTGACCCTTGAAAACCACTGGACTAAACTACAAAACTGTATTTTAAGTAGTTTTTCAATTAGCTCCAGCTATAAAACGCTGCTTCCACATTGATACATCAGTAACAACAATCTCATAATGTCAGACATACTTTATGAACTTCACCATTGTTCATATATGTATAGGTACTTGATAATAAATAATGAATATATACTAGATTTGCAATTAGTGTCAACCTCTGTCCTATACTATAACGTTATTATTTCCTAAAACACAGGTATTCATGATAGATGTTTAGAATACAAAGATGCCCTGTTTACTTTTGTCTATCAAATAATTTGTCTTTGTTACCACTGAGGCCTTTAAATGAAAAACAAGAAGATAAAAAATCTTTTCTTCATACTTTGTTGACATTGCTTTCATGTCATTGTCATTTTCAGAGAATGGCCTCTACCATCAGCCTCCTCCCTGAGAAGCACTTTTTGTGCACTCTGTGTAGAGACATCTTCACCAGACCAGTTACCATACCGTGTGGACACAGCTTCTGCTTGTCCTGTCTCTGCCACTACTGGGCACGACACCAGTCCAAATACTGCCCCCACTGTAAGAGAGTGTTTACTGACAAGCCTGACCTCAGTGTCAACCGCATTCTGGCTGACATCGCTGACAACTACAGGAAGACTCGACCGCAGAAACCACCCGATGAGGAAGTGGTACTTGCTTTGCTTGCGTTTGTCACTATAGGTGGTATAATGTGATAATTAATAAATCTAGTATATTTGTGTATGCTTGTGTCACTGTTGCGTGTGTACAGGTTATAGATGTTGAGCAAATGATTCAGGAACGGCTTCAGAAGATAGAAAGGTTGAAATATTCTCTTGAGGTTCAAAAGGTTTGTTGAAACTCTCTATAAAACTTTAAAATCTTTATTTATTCTTAAACGTGTATAGTTGAATGATGATGATGATGTCCAATCAGAGCTCTTACCTCAGAGAGGTACGCGAGAGTCAGAAGGTCTTCTCTGCCCTGGTGAATGCCATGGAGAAGAGTCACAAAGCGGTTGTTGCTGCAATAGAGGAGAGAGAGAGGGATGAGGAGAAGAGAGTAGAAATGCTGATGAAAGAGCTGGAGCAGGAGATCCAGGAGCTGAGGAAGGAAATGGCTGAATCTGATCCTCAGATTCCTGAAAATGGTGATCAAACTGATGATGCAAAGCAAGTTACCTTGGTAAGCAAGATGGTGATGGTGAAGCACTGATCCCAGCTACCATCAGTGAAATGTTTACGTCTTTTTTTTTTTATGTCATGCAGAACATCATTTCCACTATTTCCCTCTCTGACCTGAAGGACTGGTCTAAGGTTACCATAGAAACTGACCCTTGTGTTGGGGTCACCAGACGAGCACTGTCAGATATGATAGATATGATGAAAGTAGAAGTCAACAGGCTCTCCAAATCTGGTGAGCAACACATTTTTTTAAAAAGATATCTCATGTATTGAACCAGATAAATTTGGGACTAAATTTCAGTGTCAGTAACATTTTGTTTTCCTTTGATCCTTACTTTACAGAACTTAAAAGAACTGAGAAATATACAGGTAAGGCTTTCTTTTTGCTAAGGGGAGGGTAATTCCGATTTTTTTGGGGTCTTTAATTTTTAACACATTTATATTTCAGCTTGCATGGTTAATTAGAAAACCACATGCAAAGAAAAACGTTCCTTAACCTTTTTTAGTTATTAATGGTGGAATCAGTTGTATCAACTCAAAGCTGTATTTTTAAGTATGAGGAGGAGGCTGTTTTTTTTAATGCCAAGGCTATTGTCAAAATAAAGTTCTGATAATGCTTGTGAAGGTGTTGCAAACTTAAATACAAGATTGAACTCCATTACTGGGGTACAGGTGGTAGTATTAAGGATGTCCACATCGTTTGACCCGTTCTCCCTCTTTTCTAGTGGATGTTAATCTGAGTGTAAAGACAGCCCACCCCTTCCTCTTCGTCTCAGACGACAGAAAACAGGTGAGACACACAGACAAGCTTCAGGAGGTACCAGATCACCCAAAGCGGTTCGACCGCGTGGCAAACGTGCTGGCCAAGGAAAGCTTTGGCAGTGGGAGGTGCTACTGGGAGGTGGAGGTCGGGGAGAAGATTGAGTGGAACCTGGGTGTCGTCAGGCAATCAATAAACAGGAAGGGCAAGTTCACTGTCTGCCCTGCAAATGGTTTCTGGACTTTAGCCCTGAAGGCTGGAGGCCAGTACATTGCCAACACCTCTCCCGTCACCCTGGTGGCTCTAGAGCAGAGGCCCAGGAAGGTGGGTGTGTTTCTGGACTACACAGAGGGCCGCGTGTCCTTCTACTGCGCAGAATCCGGAGTCCACATTTACACCTTCACCGATACCTTCACTGACAGGCTTCATCCATTCTTCAGTCCTGGTCGCATGCATGGTGGAAAAAATGCTGCTCCCCTAATCATCTGTTCTAGCTTTTGTAGCATCTGAACATTAATCCCAATACAGGATTTATAAAACTCCAGTATAAACACAGTTGCTATTCCTGGTATTAAATTATCTTTTTATTATCTATGCAGTATGATAAATATATTTATTAATTTAAAAATCTATATGAAAACCCACAATGAACCACATTTCTCCATCAGAAGAGGGACCAAGAGGTTGCATAAGGACTGACTGCCTACACTTGAAAATTTCAATGAAACCCATAAACAGATTGAAAAGGGTAGAAGGCACTCATAAATAAACAAGTGAGTCAAAGTCGAAAAAGAGGAGAAAATGGGTTGCTGTATGGATATAAGGGGATGCAGGGTTGGGACAGAGGTTGACGAAGAGCAGGGAGGGAGGGCACGGCAAAACAGCAGGGCATTGTGCTCGTACACCAGGCACTGGGAGACACACTCAAACACATTCACGCATTCACACAATAACACGGTCGTGCACACAAGCGCATGCTTCTGCCCACTGCCACACAGACTTGTGCTGGCATCTCGGAGGGCAGCCCCATTTTCCAGTCCAGTCCTAGATGTCGAAGCTGATCGACCCCCTTTGCTGCAGTTCACCTGACCTCTCAGTTAGAGCCTCCCCTGCTCTCCAGCCTTCCTGTGGACTAAACTGACCTCTCAGGGCTGTCATTCACAACTGCGGACATCCACAGCTGATCTACACAAGCAAAGGACCAGTAACACTAAGCTGTGGACCAAGGGGAGCAAAGAGAGTGCACCATACTTCATTTGAGGTAAATATCGTTGCTCAAATCCTCTATCAGTGCATTAGTGACATTTCCAAAAACACAGAAAAAACAACTTGATGGAAAAACTGATAGTTTTGTGTGATTAAAAGCTGTACATTTATGTGATGAGTTTGATGGAATATAATGGATGTTCCCAGTAATTGTTCTATTATGTTTAGCTGTGTCACAATTTAATATCCCTTTTTAAGTGGTGATAGTCTCAGTGTTGGAGGTGTGTGGGATGTTACTAATTGCTCTTGCGTCACTGCAGTAGTTCCCTGAAAAGTATCCTACTCCTAATAGGCAGAGCCATTAGTTATACCAAGGATAAGGTCTGGGGGCCTTCGGAGGCCACTGAGGGACTTTGACTTCATTTCCATGAGTTTATGCACAATGTTTTGTAACAGTGGGAGAATGTAGTCCAGTCTGAATGGTTATTCTGGTTTCTTGGATTCATACGATATATTATTATCTGCCTACTCACAAGACAGGCTGTAATTTTCCTTATCAGATCTAGTAATAATCCCCCCAGATGGATAAGTGCTTATCTGATAATGAGTAAAACTTATCCCCTTGACATTTATTCGTCTATCAGAATCAGTTGTTGAACTGATCTTGTGCAGGGAGGGTTTGATTCACAGAAGTGGTAAAATGTGGATAAATAGATGATACAGGTCCTCCTGGCCCACTCCACAAGCCTGCATGAAAGCTGCTTGTGTTCAGAGTCTCCTCATGTTTTTCTGAGATAATCCACTCACCCGGCAAGGCGTAGCTCGACACCCACAGCTGTGTCAAAGAGGGCTATTCTCTGTGGTTCTTACTGGAATCCACTAAACATGGGCCTCCCAGCCTGTTTCCAAATATTTATGATAAATATATGCTCCATTAGTCTTTTCATACATACGCTGCTGTAATGCTGTAAATTGTTGTAAAAAGTAACAAGTTATAGATATTTTTGTATTTGTAAAATTTTGCAAGGTATTTGTATGCTAAATAAAAATGAATTGAAATTTATTCTAATTGTTTTTTCTGAATTTCAGGATACCCAACCTCGTCTAATCCAAGTTGAACCCATCAACATCATCCCCCACAGACTGAGGATCCAGTGGTGGAGCAAGACATTTCCATAGACTGTCACATTTCTTTGTGGGACTATACGTGGGCCCTTTACAACAGACAGAGACTGATATAAAACCAAGACAAATCCATCTGATTCAAACAACATCTTTCACCATGGCAACCACAGGTATGCAGTTGCTGGGCCTAATAATGTCCATTGTAGGCTGGGTGGGTGGGGCGGTAGTCTGTGCCATCCCCCTATGGAGGGTCACTGCCTTCATCGGTAACAACATAGTGACAGCTCAGATCATTTGGGAAGGCCTTTGGATGAATTGCATTGTCCAGAACACAGGTCAGATCCAGTGTAAGGTGTATGACAGCTTACTGGCTCTGCCCAGTGACATGCAGGCGGCCCGGGGCCTCACAGTGTTCTCCATCCTGCTCTGTGGCCTGGCTCTGGCTCTGGGGGTCCTAGGAGTCAAGTGCACTAAGTGCATCGGTGTAAACAGCCTCAAGGCCCGTATTGCTCGCATCTCTGGAGCCCTTTTTGCCATTGCAGGGTTCCTCTACCTTGTGCCCGTCTGCTGGACTGCCCACTCCATCATCAGGGATTTCTATGACCCACATGTGGCGGCTCCACACAAGCGTGAGCTTGGCCCTGCCCTATACATTGGCTGGGCGGCTTCAGCTTTGCTCCTTATTGGAGGATCTCTGCTCTATGCTGGGTCAAGTCCACCTGGCATCCCAGGCTCTCCCACCTTCAGCAGTGGAGAAAGTAGTCCTCGCAGGGCACCTGCTACACAAGTCAAAGGTTATGTCTAAGTTCCCAAAATGTCTGAATGCCTTCAAGTCTCACAAATCCACCCCAAACGATGACAAACCTGTTTTTTCTTTTCTTGATTTTGCTCCTTGTAATTATTTTATATTTAATGTTATTCCAGTTTGCTTTTTTCTTTGAAAAGCCGCAGGAGGCTGTTTAGGGAAAATTGAACTCATTTTATTATTTCATACCTGATATCTTCAAATAACATTTTTTCTGTTTGTCAGTGTAAAATACAATAAAACCTTTGGTTGTCCAAACCTGTGTTGTCCACATTTGTACAATTACAGATATAAAAGCACTTAAAAAAATCTTACAACCATATGTGTTTGAAATAAGTAGCATAGTAGTTTTAAAAGAAAAATCTTTGTTTGGCTCGTTTGTGTAAATGCTACTATGTGTTCTGCTGAAAAGAACAATAGAACAATGGGGATGTGTGTAGATTTGCTTGTGGTGCCATATTGTTGAGAAGTGTGTATGTTTGTGTGTGTGTGTGTGTGTGTGTATGGTTGTCCATCTCCTATCTTCCATCTCTTCTTCCCTGTCTCAGCTACTCTGTACCAGGGACAAAGAAAAACTTTTCTTTATCTTTATTTCATAACAAAAAAAATCCTGGTACTCCTTCTATCGTACTGTATAAGTACAGTAAACCAGAACAGTCTTATAGATAGTGCAGCTCAAAACACCTCCTCCTCTTTGTCAGAATTTAAATGGACAAGAATTCAAAGGCTGAATTATAGATGACATTATTAAAACACATCAACCCTCATAATGTTTGAGTCCTTCACTGTATGTACCGTTGATGTCTGCATGTGTGAACATGTAATGTGGGATTTACAGGCCAAAGTGGAAAACATCTTTATTCACAAGCATTGCAGTCATCCTTCAGATTCTGTGCTCATTTACTTTGAAGTAAATGATCATCCGCAGAGAATTTCAAAAACAATTTCAGTGAAATAAAAACCACATGATATTGACATGATATTGCTTCAGAATGCCAATATTTTTTCCAGGCTAAATTTCTTAAATTGCATTAATTGCATAGAAAACATGCCCCAGTAATTGCTTTCTGTCTGCTGTAAAGAGTAAATTTGATCATAGCTGCGAGGGCATACGTTGCCCCATCAGTTTTTTTCTTTGTCAGTAACAGCAGTGGACAGAGCAATACAATGCCACTTTATTGAGCACTACAGCACCACAATAACAATGGGTACCAGTGTCCCAAGTGCCAGGTAGTGACTCATTCATGACCTAAGTAGGCCTATACTAATGTTGGTGGAGTAATGTTGTGAATACAGTAAAACAATATGTGCTATTTTACTGTAAGGTTGTAATGGGCAAGACAAAGTGAAACAAGTGCACCATTTACATTGTAAATAACCAGCAGAGTGTCTTAAAATAGCTTTAAGGTATGGTACCAGCACAATTCTAATAACAATACTGAACACAAGGACATTAATGAATCATTGCTAATATACTTCACTGTAAACCGTCCACAGGATCAACTACAGAACACTAGAGGTGGAGCTGGTGAGGATTCAACAATCAATACTCAAGACACTTCAGTAAGGTCTACTTCCTTGATAAAGCTTCATATAAACTAAAACAGTTAAGGTTTTAAAACTAGCTTTTGACACAGAGTCGTATTATAAGACAGGGGGGGTGGAGGAGACGACACAGTTGATAATGTAAGTGGTACATATTTCAAACAAATTTGTAATTAATCAAACTCTATAGACCAAAACCATATGGAGTAATAGTAGTATTTTCGGGCCCATGGTCTTTTGGGTCATCTGAGCCATCATGGCCAAAAACCCTGGCTAATCCAGCCTTTCTTATTTGTTAAAAAAAAAAAACCCCAAAACGAATTAATCTAAGCAAGACACTTCAGTAAGGTTTTTTTTTTTTTTACATCACCCTGCTGCCAACTCACTTGAGGTTTATTTTCTTGATAGAGCTTTATATAAATTAAAACAGTTAAGGTTTTAAAACTAGCTTTTGACGGAGTCCAACCTTGCATATAAATGTAGTCGAACAAAACCTGCAATATTTCTCTCTGAAATGTGCTGCAGTTTACGTATAAAGAAGAGGAAAATGTAGGTCAAATACTCAAGTGCTGCAGGGACTCTCAAACTGTACTTTAATACAGTGCAAGTACTTTAGTTTCTCCAGAATGTACTTACCGTTTCATTTAACGGTCGTTAGAGGGAGAAAAATCCTCCGCGTTGCTGTTTCTCTACCGGAAGCGGGAAGTAGGAAGAGCTACACAGCTGTGCTCCGTGGCTAACAGAGCAGCTAACAGGCTAACCTCAGCGGTGGAAATATCAGGACCCGTTGACCAAACAAGACTCCTTGACCGAGACTTTGACACCTTGAATCTAATATGGGGAAGGGTGGAGGCACATTTGAGAGGCTTCTCGGTAAGTTATCCACACATTTGTCAAGTTGATGGTTTATTAGCCAACTGTGAGTCAAAGTGCGATGTTTTCCAGCGTATTGTTTTGACAGACGCTGGGGCTGTGGCTCTCAGGCTAGCTAATTTTAGCCTGCTAACAAATTCGCTGCTATTGTTTGGAGGCCCAGTTAGGCTCACAAAATTTAGCAACCCGGCTAAGTAGCAAGTACAGTCTTATTTGCCCCCCCCCTCCCCTTTTTTTTTTTTACTCAGAATCGACCTAAACCAGTATCTTATTATGTTATGTTTGAGCTGTTAGTCAGGAAGAAAACAGCCTGTCGACCCTCTTCAGATGAGCAAATATCATAATATGTAAACGTAACAGTAACAATGTTACCGGATAACTCCTGACATGACTCGGCTGCTCAGGGCAGGCATACAGCCAAGCACAACATATCATTTATAACCTGTAGTGTTGTCTTAAGTTTTTAAAGTCCACAACAGGTTGATTAGCAAGCTGCTTATCGCTTCCCTGTAGAGATCAACGTTACACTGAATTAGAGGTCTTACCATTAAAATACACTTGGTAAAATTAACGTCAGATGGTTATAAGTAGTTTATCATGGCACTATCCCAAGAAAAATACAACTGTGTCATACCGTGCAGGTGCATTGTAGGTGGTTTCATGAATGGTGTTGAAAATGGACAGTCAATGGACATCAGATTATAGAAAAAATCAATTTCGTAACAGGAAGATCATCATTAACATCTAAATTGCAGTTGGCACAGATGGCCAGATTAACCTGCCAGGGGCCCCTGGGGTAAGAATAAGGTGCAGTGCTCCATAAACCCTCAGATGATGATAAACCACTGGTTTACATAATAAACTTCTTAAACTAGTTAGATGTTGACACAGGTTCTCATGATTGGGTACAAAGCAGAACTACAACATCCTGAGTTGACACTTTCACAGCTGTGCATATTTCGATATTGCCAAAGATACAGTCAGTCAAATTACCACAAACTTTTATCTTTTAAGTTTGATGCAGTTTCCCGCTTCGACAAAATCAGATGTCTCAACTCTTAAGATAGAATCAGGAATAAGACCATATTTGTGTAGGTATTTATGCCATTAGAATTATTGTAGCTTATCTAATGACTCTGTAATTACTATATAATAGTTATCAAAGAGAAAAGAGAGCACATCAAGAGAACACTTTAGTAGTTGAGGAGAAATCCACAAGATACAGTGCATATAAATGCACTCAGCTACCTCTTTATTTTATTCATATCAGTGAGGTTAGATTAAAATATTAGAAACATGATTTGGTATAGAGAAAGAGAATTCAACTGCACCACCAACTTCAGCCTTTAAAATGACCGTAAAGTAACACTTCTCTGAAACAGTTTCAACCAAAACTGAACATTGTAACCTTCATGAAAGTGTGATTTAGTTCAGGGCTAGACTGCATTAGTTTAGGTCAGGTGTTCCTAATAATCCTTTCCTTAGGAATGGAGGAAGCTTGTTATTTTTAATGACATGTTGGTTTGGTGTGACAGATACTGTGTGACAGATATTAACCAGACAATATACCAATATTACATCTTCAACCATCTGTATTAATTGCAGATAAAGCCACCAGTCAGCTGCTGCTGGAGACTGACTGGGAATCGATTCTGCAGATCTGTGATCTAATTCGACAAGGAGACACACAGTGAGTGATTCTGCGAATTGCCAACTTCTGTCTGCATACATATTCAAATATTTCATTTGACTATTAGGTTTATCTTTCTTTAACAAAAAAATAAGAAAACCGAACAAGTGTGTTTTGCAAAAAAAAACAAACAAAAACTTTATCACCTGGACTTTCAATTGAGCAGTATTTGTTTTGTCTGTGCAGAGCTAAATATGCTATTGGAGCTATTAAGAAGAAGCTGAATGACAAAAATCCACACGTGGCCCTGTATGCACTGGAGGTAAGACCTGTGTAAAGTTGAAAATGTTGTTGCTAAATTATTTTTCAGATGGCAAAAAAAAAACATTATAACATGTAAAAAATTAAACTTAATTAACTGGAAACCTACAGTTCTGCTGTATATGTTAATTGTCTTAATGTGCTATTTTGTCAGTGAATAATAATGTGACCTCTCCCTTCAGGTCCTTGAGTCAGTAGTGAAGAACTGTGGCCAGACAGTCCATGATGAGGTGGCGAGTAAACAGACCATGGAGGAACTGAAGGACCTACTCAAGGTCATTGATTTTATTTTTCTTCTTAGGCATCACACTGTTGTCACAATGCTGTTCAATCTCAAATATACTGTTCCCACTCTCTGTTTTATCCGTTGCAACAATCTAGTTCTTTCACAGCACAAGTTTTGACTTAAGTTGTGCTCAGTACTGTGAAGTTAAATTTGCTGACAAAGGACTGGAGAACAGTTTCAGCCTTTTTAGAATCAGATTTATCATTCATTTTTTAAAAATCATTATTTAACCCAATGAACATTTTTCGAATAACTGATTGAGTGTTTAGTTAACGAAAAGTAGTCAAAAATACTCACCACTGTTTATTACAGTCCAGGTTGACATCCTCAAATGTCTTGTGGTGTTCGACCACAAAGGTATTCACTTTACAACAATAAAAAACAGAGAAAAGCAGAAAATCTCAGTTAATTGATTTAACAACAAATTTTTCATAAGGTTAATGTCTGTGCAACTATATTTTTAGTCCTGTACCTTTCTCCATCAGAGTAACAAGTTGTGGAAAGTTTGGATATAGTGCTTTCAACCTCTTAAACACAGACAGCATGAGTTGTCTGACCATATTTTGGCTGGAAGCTTTATTACCTTTCCCACCGCTCTCATGACTTGAATATCTGCTCACTGCTTTCAGGCAGCAGTCTGCATTACAGCATGAGCTAGCAATATTTGATTGGGTCCTAGCTGTACCATGTGACCCAGGCTCCTGCGGCCCATGCTGGTTTTGACTTCCTGATGATGTCACTGCCTTGTGACAGGAGGGTATTTCAGCCCAAAGCAAGGGACTTCCCACCTGACTTCTTGTTATTGGAGGCAGTGTTGTTTGATTCATTTTGCTCAGTCATACCATTGTTGAGTGACAACAGAAATGTAGAATATCAAAACAAGAAGGACTTGAAGGTGTAAAGACACATTTGCTTGACTCTGTGTGGTTCTTTTACCACCAGAAACAGACAGAACCAAATGTCAGAAACAAGATTCTGTACCTGATCCAGGCCTGGGCTCACGCCTTCCGCAACGAACCCAAATACAAGGTGGTTCAAGACACATATCAGATTATGAAAGTGGAAGGTAAGTGGACACATGCGCATATACTGTATTTTTTTATTGTCACACTCACTTGAAAAGAAACCTAAGGATCTCCAAAAGTATAATGACCCAGATAAATATTTCCAAGCTTGTCTTATCTACAGCTAAATTCAAGAAAGACACATTTAAATGTTTACATTAAAGTTATTTATTCAAACAGTTACATTTACAATATTTTAAACTGATGTCCTGTATTAAACAGCAATTATTACATATTGTTTGCATATTGTTCATTATTTGAGGATATCTGAAGGTTTTGAAAAGTCCTTTTTGAATTTTCATTGAAAAAACATTTAACTCCATCTACTCAAAAAAGGCTTTAGAAAGAATCTATGTGGTTGTGGGCTGTTGAAAGACACTGCATATTTATAAACTATAAGTGAGACTGGTGTGACGGGATTATCTGGGTCCAGGTCATATTAATTGATTACATATATATTACTAGGAATTAGTTATATACAGCTGGAAACTACAGACAAAATATGACATATAATGGATATACTTCATAAATAATTGTAGACCTTGTTGTTCCTACTGTTTTTTGGTGTAACAGATGGTATTAAAAAGGTCTTAAAAAGTCTTCCATCTTATTTGGTCAACACTGCAGAAACCAGGAGCATACTGTAGACTCAACAAGTCTGTATTTCTTTTCTCAACAGGTCATGTGTTCCCCGAATTCAAGGAGAGTGATGCGATGTTTGCAGCAGAGAGAGTGAGACATTTAGTTTTTGTTGTTTCACTGTAGTAGAGTTTGCTTTATTAAGTGATTGTTTTCTGTAGAAGCAGCATGAATTATATGTTAAATGCACACCATAAAATTAAATGCTGGTGAACTATTTAGAAGAGAGGATATGCTGTATGTACTCCGAGCTCCAGTGATTTGCTTCTTTTTTCTTTTATTGCATCATCATATCTTTAGTAATATTTGATTGTCTGTTTGTTGTCTAGGCCCCTGACTGGGTTGATGCTGAGGAGTGCCACCGGTGCAGAGTTCAGTTTGGAGTTATGACAAGAAAGGTAGGCCTTGCTTCCTTTTAACTAGGCCACTTGTAGATTATATGGTTTTCTTCATTCAGTTACAGCGTTGTGTGTGTGTGTGTGTGTGTGTGTGTAGCGCATGTGCGGAAGTTGACCTCGATTTCTGTTCTGTGCTTTTCCAGCACCACTGTCGAGCCTGTGGCCAGATTTTCTGTGGCAAGTGTTCGTCTAAGTACTCCACCATTCCAAAGTTTGGGATCGAGAAGGAAGTGCGTGTCTGTGAGCCCTGCTTTGAGCTGCTTAACAAGTGAGTCCAGTGAAAAGTTTGAATTATGGTGGCCCTTAATAATACCACTATATCTGTCTCCAGCAATGTAGAGAAATACCTCATTAGTTGCAGCATGATATTTCTGGTATTGTAAATTATTCTCCTGCTCATGTTGTGTTATTTTTTTTGTGGAGCCTAGATACACAAGGTTAGATTGTTTACATCTGTTCTGTATCACCATTAGCTTTAGGGTTAAGTGACTAATGCACTGCCTTGTCTAAGTGTATGGTCCTCCATCTAATTATCTTTGCTCACCTTTATCCGTGATTTGAACCTCAATTTGTCTTGATATGTTTATTGTGTTACCTCTGTCAAAGAGGTCATGTTTTCCAGTTATTCAGTGGGGTTACATCAAAAAGGATTTTGAAATTTAGTGGAACGTGAGGCCAGCAGAGAATACTGCAAGCATGTGGCCATTTTTAATGTATTTTTCTTAAATATTTTGTTTTCGTCACAATATATTTCATCCAGCCCTTACCAAATTTGGTACACAGTATATATGGATGACCCTGAAAAAAGTTAATTGTTTATGCATATCCTATGGTTTTTATGATATAAATGACCCTGATTTAAGAACACACTGTGTAATTTAAATGATTCCGGCTTGCATATACTCTGAACAGTGTTGCAAAATTATGCCATATCTCAGTGGTAATGAGTCTGACTGACTTCAAGCTTTACACAAATTCTCCAAAACTTGATTTTCCGTTACAATGTGTGATTAAAAGCAGATCCAAGTCTGAATGCAGATTAACAATTTGTAAACATGTCCTATTATTACAATAGCAAATTAAAAGAATTTTGCAGCATATACAGAGTTGTGCATTCCCTGATTGTTTTATGGTATTGTTCTGTTTTTGGAGAGTGCTTGCTGTTTCAAACGGAATTCTCTCCTCTGATTTACAAGGTTGTTTGTCCTCCCTGATCCCTTTTCCTCACCAGCCACCCCTCCCTCTCTCCTCCACTTAGGAAAGCTGAAGGGAAAGCACCACCCACAGGCTCTGCTGAACTGCCTCCCGAATACCTGACCAGCCCGCTGTCCCAACAGTCACAGGTAATTGTATAGAAAAATAAGATGGCTTAGTTGACATCTGTATTAGGGACTCTACATGGGAAAACACATATGCATCAATGTATTTTAATTATCCTTTTGCTGTATTTTATTCTTCTGGTCTTTTTTCCCTTTTCCCTGCTTTTCACTCCCTTGGTCTCACCATTGCTCGTCTCTCTCACCAGATGCCACCCAAGAGAGATGAGGCAGCACTGCAGGAGGAGGAGGAGCTGCAGCTGGCCATTGCCCTTTCCCAAAGTGAGGCTGAGGAGAAGGAGCGCATGGTGGGTTGCACAGCTGAAATTTTACTTTTTGTTTTTACAGCCTGTTTAAAGAGAAAAACTGACCAAAACCGTATGTGCACTTACAGAGGCAAAAGAACTCATACACAATGTATCCCAAAGCTGATCCCACCCCGGTGACTTCCTCAGCACCACCAGTCAACCCCCTCTACACTTCCCCTGTGGTAAGACTTCTCCCTGGCAAAATGAATTATCTACACTACCGACCATTTTTTAATCATTCAAAATGATTGAATTATCTTTTTTTACTGACCACTATGAACTATGCACTCTCTCTAGAACTCTTCTGCTCCATCAGCTGAAGATGTAGACCCTGAGGTACGTATGTTGTCCTTCTCTACTACAGTACCTTATTATAGACTAATGGATACACTACATCGTACTTACAATACTGATATGTCTGTGTCACAATATTCCAGCTGGCCCGTTACCTGAACAGAACATACTGGGAGAAGAAACAGGAAGAGGCTCGCAAAAGTCCCACCCCCTCAGCCCCTGCCCCTGTGCCATTGGCTGAGCCACTTCCTGCAATCAGTCAGCCTGTAGAAAGCCACGTCCCTGTCCAGCCAGTCAGCATAGTGGAGGTATATTGAAATATTGTTGAGTAGATGTAACAAGCAGCAGTTTTATGTCTAGCGGAACTGGAGAAGGAAAACCACAAATGACTCTCTGCACTTTGCTTCCCTGTCGCCTCCACCTTTAGCAGCAGTACCAGAACGGCGAGTCAGAGGAGAACCATGAGCAGTTTCTGAAGGCTCTGCAGAACGCCGTCACCACCTTCCTTAACCGCATGAAGAGCAACCACATGCGTGGGCGCAGCATCACCAATGACAGTGCTGTGCTCTCCCTCTTCCAATCCATCAACAACATGCATCCACAGCTGCTCGACATCCTCAACCAGCTAGATGAGAAACGATGTGAGTGTTTGCTGCTCATGCGTGTGCGAGCTTCTATGCATCTCTGTCTCCCTTTGTGTCTAAGCTCTCAGTCATCGCATTGTGTATGTCATTGGCAGTGTACTACGAGGGGCTGCAGGACAAGTTGGCCCAGGTGCGTGATGCTCGGGCAGCTCTCAATGCCCTTCGTGACGAACACAGAGAGAAGCTGCGCCGTGCCGCAGAGGAAGCAGAGAGGCAGAGGCAGATCCAGCTGGCACAAAAACTGGAGATCATGAGGCAGAAAAAACAGGTGATGAAACGAGGCTCTCCAGTTAGAATGCACGTTGATACGTTATTCATTACCATACTCACAAGTGTTTTGTTTTGGAACCTCAGGAGTACCTGGAGATGCAAAGACAACTGGCCATTCAGCGCCTCCAGGAGCAGGAGAAGGAGAGGCAGATGCGCCTGGAGCAGCAGAAGCACACAATCCAGATGAGAGCCCAGATGCCTGCTTTCTCTCTGCCCTACGCCCAGGTACACACTGTGCACTGACCTATGCCACACTGATCTCACTAGCTGCGGTTCTACAGCGTATTTCATCATGAACTGTCAGACTACCATGTCCTAGTCCAGAAGTTAATCAGCCCTCTCTTACAGCACTGGTCCCAGTCATGCACTTTTGATACCTGATGTCGGATTTCAACCCAAACAGTTGCTATCTTATCTAATGTTACCTGTTAGCAGATTGAATGAGATGGTAGGCACATCACATGAGAATGAAAAGCCGTAGACACTTGGGCTGCAGTATTAACAGTTAAGTTTTGTTTTTAATGCCAGGTATTGTAATTAAAATGATGTGGGAATTTAGACACCACATTTAACTGTTCATAAATCTTTCGGAATAAATCTCTGATAATGCCTGTATGTGTGGTTACACAGATGCAGTCTTTGCCCCCCAACGTGGCAGGAGGGGTGGTGTACCAGCCTGGTGCTCCACCCAGCTACCCGGGCACCTTCAGCCCTGCTGGTTCTGTGGAGGGTTCACCTATGCATAACATCTATATGAACCAGCCTGGGCAGACTGCACCAGCACAGTACCAGGCCATGCCCGGCGCTGCCACAGGTGAGGAAGTCAATAAGAAGAAAGATAAACTGGAAACTTGGATAGAAAGCTTTCAAATACTCTTGATAGCTTGAGAAATAAAAAAAATCTGCATTACATTCAGCCATGAAGCATTTGATATGATACATAAATATGTTAATTCAAGTATCCTCCTGTGTGTGCTCCCTCCAGATCCCAATATGGTTAATGCGTACATGTACCAAGCTGCAGGCACCAATGGGCAGCCTGCTCCTCCTCCCAGTCAGGCTCCACCCACTACTAGTCCACCCTACTCCAACTATCAGCCTACACCTACACAGGGCTACCAGGTCTGCTTGACATTCAGTTTCTGATAACTACACACACTACACTGTCTGAATATTTAATGCTGAAGAAATATTCCACTAAACGTTGTCCTGGTTTTGTGCAGAATGTGGCCTCTCAGGCCCAGAGTATGCCTCCCATGTCCCAGGCTGCCCCCACTAATGGTATGGGTTACATGGGCTACCAGCCATACACCATGCAGAACATGATTTCAGCCTTGCCGGGACAAGACCCCAATATGCCACCCCAGCAGCCGTACATGCCAGGCCAGCAGCCCATGTACCAGCAGGTCAGTGGTTTATTATTTCTTTCTTCATTACCTTCCAACAAACTGTGCTAAATTAGCTAAACTATGTTAATCATTGATTGGTATCTTTATTTTTACTCTTCAGTGCATCCAGGTTATTTCAGTCTTCACTAATTTTTCTGTTATTACTTGATCATTCCGTTCCTTCTAGGTGGCTCCCCCTGGTGGCCCACAGCAGCAGCAGCAGGCACAGCAGCAGAACCCTCAGGCTTTGCCGGGCAGTGCAGAGGCGCAGCTCATCTCCTTTGACTAAAAGCCCATACGCTGCAAGGTCTCACACACTACACCCTCTCTCCTCCTTTGGTCTCTCCCCTCCCTCTGGACTCTGAGGATGCCCTCTGGAAACACACACACACACACACACACACACACACACACACACACACACACACACACACACACACACACACCTCCTACCTTCCACCTAGCTGTGATGTTGTGGCAACGTGAAATATTGTGATAATGTTGCAGAGCTGTTGCTCTCCTTGCCTCTCCCCCACTGAAGTATGGGAAAGTGAGGTGAAGCTGCAAGGGAGGGCACCATAACCCAGACCCCTACACCCTCTTTCTCCCTCTTTCCAGCTGATAAGTATGTAGTATTTCCTTATTAAATGAATAACTGAAGCTCAGAAATAGTCAGTGGTAATAAAGTTAAAATGAATAAGAAAATATGATAATAATTGAGGAGAAAAAACAGACATAACCATCCTTTGCCTCATATTTTTCTAAAGCAAATGCATGTTAAAATTTGAATTCTTTTCTGGAATGGAAGTTAATTATTACACCCTATCGTAACAGTTTGGGGAGTGATTGAGGGACATCTGTATGTGCTGTTATGAGAGGTTATGGGTGTGTGGATAAAGAATGAGGGCACAGTCAACGGCCTGAAATAAATGGCACTAACTCACATCTCCATCAGGTTCACATCTTGACATTCCAGTTGTAGTTTTCGGTTCCATCCGTTCTAATGTAAACAGATGCACACACAACTAGGGTCAACAGTCTTGTTTTGGCATTTTATTTGTTGTGCACTGCTTGAACTTTCATTAATGTAGTTTCTGAGAGGATAAAACATGTGGCAGGAGTTACATTACATTGTTATACATTGTGGGAGGATAACTAGAAAATTTGCAGATTGGTTGTTTAATCATCACTAAACATACTTGCATAGATGAAATCATTGAATCACACAACTACAGACCATAAGATATGCGTACTAAAACAGTCCAGTTACTCTAAAAGTATCCTGCATCCCTTTTTTTCCCTTCCCCTTTTTTTTTTTTTTATTAAAATGACTTGGTTGTAACTGTCACAGATGAGGATAGCTACATAATAAGTACAAGTAAGGTGGGCAATCTTTTCTCAAGTGTACTTGGCTCTCCAGAGATGTGGAAATGCTTGCAGGGTGAACATGATGTCCCGCATGTATGTATCACACACCCAAGTGATTTCTGTAACCTTTCAGTTGCCATGTGTGAACTTCTTTATTCCATCATACTGATCTGTCTGACTTAAAAGTAATTTTAAAATTATATTTAATAAATATCTGGTTCTTATTGTCCACTTGCCTTTGTTTTTCTTTTTTTCCTTCATTAGAATTTGAAAAGAAAGACATACAGTATATCGTTTGACAACTTTTATGGAAATTTAGTGTTTCATTTAAATTGGGCTTTACAGTACAAATAAGAACATTTTTAAAACTCTGTTGCGCAGTTTGGCATTTTTAAAGTTTTCTGAAGATGAGGCATTTGTAGTATTCTTCCATCTCAACCTGGAAATGAAACATTACAGGTGTCAAAGCTATAATATGGTTATTACCAAGTAGTTACCCCAAACTACAGTATGTGACTCACTATCCTCTCCATACGCATCCCGTTCCCATAGGCCAGCTGCCTCAGTACATCCATGTCTGGGAGACCCCACTCAGGATTCCTGTGTAAGACATGGACAAGTCAGTCTCTTTACATCATACCAGCAAAGCCACCAACAAACTTATGTCATGTAGTAGTATGTTACTATAGTAAAAATAGAAACTCACTCACAAGTTTCGAAGCTCTGCGTCCAGTTGTTCATTACAACTTGGTGTAATGGTGCCATTGATAGCATACACCTGAAACATATTTAAGAGAAATCTTAACAGGCTGTTTTTAAAGCCAGTGTTGCCATTTGTTACGTCTTCACAATGACATGATGCTAATAAACTCAAAACTACTGTTGTCACATACCCCATATGTTATCAAAAGACCATTTTGTCGGAGCATCTGACCCGCTCCATTGAAAACACCCTTAGAAAATTAGCAACACAAAAAAAAGAGAACCAGATATCAGCTCATTGGAAGAATTTTGAGATTCTGTTTCATAAATGAACCAATGCAGCACAACATCATTATTTTTCTGAGCTTATTAGCTCAACATTGTTTTTAGTTGACTAGGCCCACCTGTGCTGTTTTGAAGGAGCTGTACTGCAGTAAGTTAATAGCAATAATAACATCACACGAGTTGCGAGGAAGGCCTGCCCATTTCTCCCACGTTTCACTGGCATCCAGGTGGACAGGTTGCAGTATTGTCTTTGCATGGGTTGCAGCAATGTATGCCTTGATACTGTAAACAGGTCATGCAGACTTAATGTTACTTCTTTTTTTTTTTTCTCAAATTCTCATTAAAGTCTTTCAAATCCATATATTACTGTGTGAAGTGTTGCCAGTGAAGCTTACTGTAACACAGTTGACAGTGTCACTACTCTAGCCAGTCATTTGGATCATTAACAGATTGTTGAATGTGTCTGATGCATATAACTACTGTAAGCTTTTCTCTACAAGACACAAACCTGTCCCGAGACTCCTCTTTGATGTCCGATGGTTGCCAGGTGACAAAGGGCATCTTCTGGGCAAAGCGTATTACATGCTGCCCAGTTCCAGAGCCCAGCTCTAAGGCAAACAACTGCCTGTGGGACTGGTCCTCCAACACATCTTCAAGCACTGAACACAGATCCTGCCAGTTCCTCTCTGCCTGAGGAGACAGCAGCATGGTCTGAGGGAAAGAAGCAGAAGGACATGTCACTCTGTTATGTTGTGCTGACATGCCTATGCATTGATTTTCTCTCTCAGAGGATCCCTCTTACCTTCACTTGTGCTGCTTGACAAACTAGCTGGGAAATGGCATATTGGTGGAGGCTGGATGTGGTGGATGACTGTAACAGCAGATGGTTGCAGAGATTACCTGGTTAAGAGGATTCCGTCTGTGCTTCTCCCTCGTGTCCAGCACTGGTAGGGTACAGGTAGGACACAGACAAAGAGACAGAGATCAGTTCAATCCAGACAATAAAAGGTTTGTCTGAATATTTTATCTACTCCAATTAATACCAATACAAATCAACACGATAATCATCACCATAATGTGTAGTGTTATGTTGCATGAGTTTGTATCATATAATTTATGTCTAGGCCCTCTGTGACTGTGAGTAGTAATGTAATAATGCCAAAGTTGGTATGGAGAATGAACAGGTGGAGAAAAGTGATGATGATGAATCAGTGATTTTGTAAATGGGAAAAGAATTGTATTCACTTCTAGGGTTTTTAATTGAACACGAAGATAATTTGTTGTCATACATATCAAATATCCAGGACACTGGATGCTATGCATGACCAGAGTTAATCAAATTCCCAATGGTAAAAAACTGTACCATAAAAATAATGTATGTCTGATAAATAAAGTATACTTCTCTATATTTAGCCCAAAAACCTTTACTAAAAAGTTTATATTTAAGGAATAATAGTATAATCCGTAATAACATTTCTATTCACGTCAATATTAAGACATGACTGACCACACTTCATCCTTTGAATATTTGTGTTTTATTTGTTCTCTGTGCATTGAGACCTTTTTCCTATGTTTTAAGAAAATTAAGTAAATATAAACGCTTTGAGGAAATGCTCATATTTAATGCGTTTGCTGCTAATTATTTTCACTAAATATCGTGTGTAATTTGGTTTTATGCGTACATCTGTAACTATCAGGATTATCTCATTTTCATTTATTTGTTTATTTTGTATGTCCCTTACGGGCGCCCATAGCTTCTCTAACAGTTCACGCAGGGCATTGTGGGTAGGTCAGGCGCCATGTGCTTTTGAGGCAGAGGGGCTGGAAGGAGACCTGGTTGCGACAAACTTAGCTCGTTTTTAAAGAGACACCGGGACAAACGGCTCCAGTTTACGTTGAGCATGTACTGCACCAGACGCTGCCTCCGGACCGCGCTGCGGGTTGCGGCGACCACACACCGGTACGTAACGTCCTCTGAGCGTGCAGCAGTCAGTCATGTAACACCGGGGGAAGCGGTAACGGTACATCAGTGTTCCGACTGTCTGCTTCTTCAAGGGCAGACAGCTGCTGACTGCTACGGGTGGTTTTGGTTGTTAACCCTGCGTTTGGCTGGGTAGCTTGTGTGAATACAGAAGGTGTATTTTTTGAATGCAGTTAAAAATAACCTTCGCGTTTTACGGTTGTGTGTTCTGGGGTTAGCTAGCGTTAGCTCGGTAACTGCACCCGGTGGTTAATGCTCCTTCTCAGGTTTAAAGTTCAACACCATGACCCAGTGATCGCTGTCTTGTGGAACATCTTGTCCTCGTTCTTAGCCTTTTTATAAGAAAGATATAAATGGCAGTAGCTGTAAGATACCCCCTCCCTCCCCTCTTATTAAGCAGCTCTGCTTCTGACAGTCAAGGTCACATTCGAATCACTGGAAATTCATGTTTTCACTGATCAAATAACCGCGAGCTGCATCTCCTGCTTTGTTCGTGTATCGCTGTACACTAAGCAAAGTTGTTGCCACTAATAAGAAAACAGATTGCGATTACATTTGGACTGCACTAGATAAAGGTGTGAATGCAATATGATCCAGTTAGTTGAGGTTATCAGACGTACATCATGAATGTATATGCACCCCTTAAGTAAGTTTTGTAGTGCATGAGAGACACCTCCCAAATATTTGAATGCCAGACAAGGATTGGAAGTCTGCACCCAAAGCAAAAACCTCTAATCTAACTGTAAGGCTGAGAACTCTGTGTCACAATCTCAGAAAATCCTGATCAGTTAGGATGTATTCTGATGTGCCAGATATAAATTGCAGATGTTCTCACACTCTGGATATATCTCGATGCACATTGTCCTGTATCCTGGCCCTTTAAGGACCGGACACAGTTAGTTCTTTGGCTAATCAATTTTCCCATTTTCAGGCAACAGCTTCAGCGGCAGACACCAGCCCTGTGTGCCCTCAGACTTCTGAAGACCAGTCCAGCCATCCAGTCAGATGCCATTGCCACCCCTCCATTAGATGGAGTACCCAAACAGTATTCCCCCAAAATCCAGCAGCTGGTCAATGACATAGCCAGCCTCACTTTGTTAGAGGTGTCAGACCTGAATGAGCTCCTCAAGGTTTGTGCAAAACTTGAAACACTGAGTTTCAACCACAGTATGCCTTGTCATAGATTTTTGTGATCAACCTGTTTTGTCATGTTGAGTGACTATAGTTTTTATTTTTATTATTTTTTTTGGTCATAGAAAACTCTGAACATTCAGGATGTTGGAATGATGCCAATGGGGGCAATGGCTGCATCAGCTGTACCTGCAGCTCAGGTGAGAATTATTCCACAGAGGATGGACAATATAGCGGGAACAGGTTACAAATAAAACTTCATCTTCTACAAAACTACCATAAGTTACAAATTTATAAAAGAAAAAGACTAAAGTTAAATCAGTGCTTGATAATCATCATTTTCATGTCAAGGTGTCAAAGCCTACTTAATGCATAGTAGCTAATTTTTTCCCCCCATGTGAAACTAGGCCACAGAAGAGGAGGATGTACCAGTCAAGAAAGAGAAGACTCACTTCACAGTAAAACTAACAGAATTGAAGGCAGCAGAAAAAGTCAAACTTATAAAGGAAGTGAAGAACTGCATCCAAGGCTTGAATCTGGTGCAGGTAAGTCTCATCATTAGTGTTCAGTCCTGATCTGAGTTTTATTTCAAAGGTGCCCTGTAGTGGTTTTGATAACAAGTATTGCTAATGAGCAATGTTTTTTTGCAAACATGGATGTGAAGAATGCAGGTTTTAAATAATTGAAGAATCAGCTTAGGATACACTCAATGCTCTGGTTTGAATATTCACTGAAACATGCTGTTGCAGTTCATTTGTTGTTGCTGCTTCATAATTAAGACACTACGCTGCGTATTCCGAACAGTTTCCACTGTTTTCTAACAAGTGTAATATGGTGTTAATGACAGCTGACATTCTGTATGCGGAGCATCGTGGTTTACAATAAAAGGTTCAACTATGAGCAGACTTACTATAACTTATATTAGTGCCTTTGAAAATGTCTCTGATCTGTTTCAGTAGCAGTGTTGCAGACTGACTCAGGGCAGTACACCAGCTCCTGTAATGGAACTAAATGAAGTTTTTTTTCTCTGTACTTCTAGGCTAAGAAACTAGTGGAGTCGCTTCCCCAGGAAATCCGGGCTAATGTATCCAAAGAGGAGGCAGAGAAACTGAAAGCGGCTCTGGAGGCAGCAGGCGGCACCGTGGTGTTAGAGTAGATCTCTCCTGCACACCTGTTCTCCACCATTTTGCTGCTCATGCACTTCGTCCTTCATTCTGTTATTTCATTTTTTTTACATGATAAAGAAGAGAGGATACTGGGAGAAAAGGAAAGAAATGCCTTCTGACATTAATACTGTCTCTTAACAGCGTCAGGTGGGCGGTACAACTCTGACTGAACTTTCCAGGCACACAGCCTCCACAAACGGCCGCCCAGCTGTTTGCTTGTCCATGTGTCTGTCTGATACTTGCGTAGCAAACAAGCTACAGAAATACTGGCCTGTGTGCCAAGTAACTCAGTTGATCATTCTGTGTGCGTGTGTTTAACTTTTCACAGAAGGAAAGATTATGCTGTAGGGACATGGTCACCATTCCCTATGTTGATGAACACCAGATACTGTATCTAGTTGAGGGGATGGCAGGGCTAAGTCCTTACATTGCTCATAGCATTGTTAATAATGTGATTAAAGTTGAGATCTCCATATTTTCCTTCTCTTATGTGTTCTTATATTGATCTTGTGGTTGATTTTATGCAAAATGATGGATATGCAAACTTTGAAACTGATAAGAATGAAACTGAAAGATTCATGTAGTGTGTGTTGTGTTGCTTTAAAAGACACTGTGCATGTTGTAACTGTTTAAGGAAGAAGTGAATATTCTTATCCACAGTAGATCACATCCTCTACTGCTGCTGAGTACTAAAGTTCACAAGATCTTTTATTCACCTCAGACAGAAGGAGAGTGGCTGTTTACACATTTTTTTACTGTTTAAACTTGAAGGTTATAATTTTTTTTTTTTTTTTAAATACCTTAATCATCTATCAAAAATCTTAAGATAATTATGCCAATTATCTTAATTGGCATAATATATATATATATATATATATATTATTGTTTGTGCATGCCATTTATAAGTAGACTAAAATGTAAAACCAATAGTTTTAGAAGTATACAGTAAAGAAATACAAATTTGAAGTGATCCCTGTTTATCTCAAGCCCATTACATTATACAATTATAGTCAGTTAATATTTCGAAGGCAGGGTGGCTGCACAGGAAGCTCCAGTTTTTATTCTAACTAAAACTATATATATATATATATATATATATATTATATATATATGTGTGTGTATATGTTAACGCCGCCTGGTGGAAATCTTAAGTCACTGACGTCAACAGGATAAAAGATCCGGATTTATTTTAATTTGAACTCTGCCTTTTGACTTGAAGCTGCCACTGATTGTGGCCTGCCACCAGGTGGTGTCTGTAGTCTGTATTTAAAGCTGTTTTTCGACACTTGCTTTAAATTTGCCTTGAAAAAGACAAAAGCGTGATTGAAATGTTCAGATAAAATCTTAGTGTTCAGTCATCATCTCCTCAAAATAATCGCACTGTCATGACCAGGATCTCATCCTGATCCGGTCATATCAAGCAATTCATTACTTGTATTTTTTCAAATGCTGTTTCAGTAGTTCAGGAGGTCACAGGGGAAATCTGTGGCCTATGGTGTATTCATTGGGGTGAGAGACATTTATAAAGTCCTGCATGCTTTCACTCTTTGCGTTTGCTGTGGCATGAGTAGGGGGTTGTGTTTCCTATTTTATTAAGTAGGCTAATAGGATTAAATACTTAAGTCTAAATAGACACCTTATGGGTTGCATTTCATGGGTGGCTATATGAGAATAGATCTAGAATAACCCCAGGGCTCATTTTACATGCATTAAAAAAAACGTATGCATTCATTCACCCACATAGATTACACCTGTTTAGTGACAATGATGCAATCAGCTTATTTGTAGTGACACATAATGGTCCCTGTAGTACTCTTTAGAAGGTCAGCTCAAGGTGCAAAGCACCATCCAATGAGATAATTGGGACTGGTTGGAAACATATTAAGTCCAGTGTCTATTGTAAGCATTAGGCTGCTGTATTTATTTTGCTTTGAATAGATGTCGGTTAGGATTTTACTAAAGCAACAAAAATGTTTGTTAGAGGTTCTGTGCCTGCAAATGTCAGAAGATCACTAAAAGATTTTTAAAAAGCAGAGCATCACTCTCAGCATCCTACACACTGCCGTTCCCTTTCTGAGGCTACATTGGAGGTTTTGCCTAAACCACAAGGCGCCTGAGAAAAGTGTAGGATGATGGATGGATGGGAGTGAGGAGGAGATGACTCCCAGCAAAACTCTCATGCTGAATTAATGTGTGGTACGTACATCAGTCAGTCAACTCCCTCAAGAGACCGTGGCAGCTGAACCCAGGAGAAGTTTCAGATCAATTCTAAGTGAGGCACTGGAAACCACACTGAGGAGCCCGTCGAGGTGCTTTGTCAAAAGGTTACCTACAAGGAGCAACAAATTCTGATATTAAAAAAACTGTATAAGACATGGAAAAAAAAATTGTTAACATGTCTGTTATGTGTCACATCTTGCAGCACAGAGAGTTTGCTCATGTCTCTGCTCTGACTTGGAGCAGGTGTCCAGCTGCTGTCAGCACACGTGGTGCAGTGACAGGCTGCCCACTCATACCACTCATTTAAAATCATGTCTCAACTAGGAACCAAAACAGACACTTGTGCTACTAGAAGAAAAACATTAAAAAATTTACTTATAAACACCAGTATAGACTGTGAAGACATTTTTGACCTTGTGACCATGAGACTGAAAGTTATATTGGGACAACTGCATCTGTTCTTACTGACAAATATTTGGTTGAACTTTGTGACCTCTGATCTGTGTTGGTTGAATAATGGGATGCTGGCATACCACATTCACACAACTATAGCAGCCATCAAGCTGACGTACTATTTTTCCATTGGTTGCTTCCTCCCACAAACCAGCTGCACCCCCTTTCTTGGCACAGAAACATGGAGTATGTATGAAGGGTCTGTAGTTACATGAGTGGAGTAGCTCGGCCATATGGTCTCCCAAACTGTCCAGCTGATTATGAGAAACAAAGAGGCAGATTCACATTTGACAATTTGTGCATTTAAGAGGAATAGTGGCCACCCATCACCAGCAGCACCGAGGGAAAAGGATGAAGAGAGCAGCCGCGGACAAAGTAGTCCCAGAGACCCTTGAGGAGCCGACACTTTGCCTTTTCACGCTGACTTTGTTTCACCAACAATGTGCATTTCTTGTTGGTGCAGCTGCTTGTTTAACACCCCCTCTGGATTTAATTATGGTAAAAGATAAAGCTAATTTATTGACTTATTTTTTAATTTAACCATCACTGGAGCACAATTTTTCTTTTAGGAAATTAGGAAAATGATCCACTTAGGCCCCATTGATCCGTGCTTTTGGCATATGCCTCTGGATTACATTGAGACAAAAATTAATAAAATTATTTTCTTTGAAGTTTTATCATCCTCTCTTTTCCTGATGATACTGGCTTTCGGAACAGCTTGCTGTCTTACGGCAATTATTTATCTCTTAAAATTTCAATAAGGTGACTAGTCATCCTGGCAGTGATGTCCCTGAATTTCATTTCATTAGCACAATCAATAGGCTTGTTTGGATGCTTTAAAGTTCATAAAATGACAGAGCCATATTTTGCACAGGTCCACTGGTTCAATTTTGTATTCCCTACTGATATAACCCAGCTACTGAATTGATTTCCTTTATTTCAGCTCTCTGACTGTGTGTTTGTGGTGATGTTTAAAATAGGCTGCTGACATTACTACGTGGTACGTACACACGTACACACACACACGTACACACGTACACACGTATACACACACACACACACACACACACACACACACACACACACACACACACACACAATTTGCCATTCATGAGACTATCAGGAACAAGATGAACATGAGGAACAAAGGACTCATCTCTTTCTTCTAGAGGCTCGTCCTTTTTAAATCAGGGTTTTAACCTGGTGAATTAAAATGGTTTACATGATACTTGACTCTTTTGTACCTCACATTATTAATGTAGAATTCTAAAGGGTTGTACTTGTTTACCAAAAAAAAACGGATGTAAAATCTGCTTTTTTGGTACTGAAATCATAAATAAATAAGACTGTTGTAACCCTGCTGAAAAAGTAGTTCCCTCTCTTTTTAATTTCTTTGGCAGACCACATCGTGCTGGAAAGTTATAGTACAATGTAAAATTTATGATTGAGTCACAGATTTAGATTTCACTCCACGAGCCAAAGACGGCAGGCATATACATTTTTATGCACACCATTCAAGTTTGATGGACCAATTTTCAGTGAATTCAAATGCAAGATAATCATCATGGGGATTACTCATCCTGACAATCTTTTATCTCTCATCACGCCAAGAGCTTAGGAGGAAGTAAGTATATCTGAAAAAATGGGAACACATCCTCTCGCCACACTGACATGTTTTTCCTTCCACTTATGCTCATGTCCTAGACGGACTGCTACGTGCTTGAAACGGACGGTAAGATTCATAAATGACTGCTTCACATTAAAGCTTAGGTTGGTTTCTTTCATACATTCGATTACATAGGAAATTCACCCACAATGATGAAAATCTTTAAAATGCACTTCAGGTTTAAAATTTGATCAATTTATTACAAATACAAAAAGTGAGAAAGTGTGAAAAGTGAACACGTTTTTCTGTCAGTGTGCAGACAACTTTTACTACCTGACGACCCTAAATTCAACAGCACAAACCTTTGCCCATGTCTTCCTTGACATATTCTCTACTCTGCTGTTTGTTTTGTAGAGTGAATGAGTAAACTGTTCTCTGGTGCTACAATGGCTTCTACTAGAGTTGCATTGGTCTGTCGGACAGGTGAAGACCTCTTGTTACGTGACAAAATGCTCCTGTACTGTTTTGTAGTCTGTGTGCATTTTGTCCCTGCAGCTTTCTTGTTGTGACCAGTCCAAACAGTTGGTTCTGCGTACTGGTTATCTGACTGACAATGTCCTCACTCACCTCCTGGCCAGCGTGTTTGCAGTAAGTGACTCACCTCTGTCACTTTTCCAAAATAAGACATTTTTTCTTCTATGAGCCGGTGCCACAATCCTATGCCAGCCACTTTTATGTACACTACATAGTGTCATGTAATTCCTCTGCACACTCTGCATCTACCTTTTGCTGGGCAGCAAGGTTGGAGTAACTTGGGGAATCTCACTTCTCATCACTCTGACATGTATGGTTTATTCATGGACTGTGGGGAGAATTACACTGCTTGACATGTCTTTAGTTTTTATTTTTGTCTCCTTGTTACAGTGTGTGTTTCACTGTCCAACAGAAACAGCAAAGCTGTTGGATGTCACATTCACTGTTAAAATATGAAGACATGATGCTTCACACGGCTCCTTCCAGTCAAATCCTTGAGTCATTATACTTTTCTTGTGTAAATGTTGCTGTATCTTTAAACTCCTGTCCAGGGTCTTGTCCATGCAGCTAACAGGCTCATCACACACACAGTTTCCACCTTCATATTCCTCTAACAGCCGAGGCAGCATTTTGGAGCAGTGGCCAAAACCTGAGTGTGATAG